TCAAGAACCAGATATACAAGACATGAGCTGAAAAAATAATTGATGAAATGATCAAGAGAATAAAGAAGGCAGAAAGGAATCAAGCCTTAGAGTGACTAGACAAGCTAAAGGGGCCTAAGAAATATATTCAGTGACAGAAGACTATGGGGAGAGATCTGACCACATAGATACAGATCAAGACTCTCACCAACCAATCTATATATGCTGTCATTGCCCTGATTGACAGCAGCTGTATAAGAAGCTCTATCAATCATGCTTTTGTCACTAAGTACAATCTCTCAACTTGAGCCACTGTCAGTCTGATCCCAGTTTACAATGCTGATGGGACCAAGAATCAAGCCAGCTCAATCATGGAATTTGTTAAACTCCAATTAACAATCAGAGATCACTTGGAATAGATCAACCTAGCTGTGACTGAGCTAGAATCCAAGAAGATCTTTCTTGGTCATGATTGGCTCACACAGCATAATCTGTTAATCAATTAGAAGACAGGGCAGATCACCTTTGCATGCTGCTAATGCTAAAAAATCCTCTTTGAACTGTCAGATGAGAATCCCAAAGACCAGTGAAATGAAGAGATAGAAGATAGAGACACCATTCTTGTAGTTGATCTGGATCAGACAATTTATGTCTAAGCAGTACATCATACTAATGACTTAGCCACTAAAGCAAATGCTGAGAAGGAGGCTAAAACATTTAAAGAAATAGTGCTAGAATGGGCATAAGACTTCTGAGACCTGTCTGACAAAGAGAACTTCAATGAACTGCTAGAACCAAAGCCTTGGGATCATGTGATTGAGCTTATCTCAAATGAAACACCAATCTAAACTGCAAAATATACCCTCTTGGATGGCTGGAACAGCAGGAACTCAATAAGTTTCTAGATGAGAATCTCTCTAGTGGAAGAATCCAACTATTGAAATCCCCTATAGTCTCTTCTTTCTTCTTTGTCAAAAAGAAGGATAGAAAGCTGCAGCTAGTTCAGGATTACCAGAAGCTTAATGAGATGACCATCAAGAATTGTTATTCTCTTCCCTTGATCTTAGAGTTAATGGACAAACTCTAAGAGACAAAATATTACACTAAGTTGGACATATGATGGAGATATAGCAATGTTCAGATCAAAGAGGAAGATGAATGGAAGACAGTGTTTCAGACTAACCAAGGGCTTTTTGAATCCATGGTTGTGTTTTTCAGCCTAACAAACTCTCCTGCCATCTTTCAATGAATGATGAATGATATCTTCAAGGATCTTATCATGACAGAGAAAGTCACTATTTATCTGGATGACATCCTAATCATATTTAAAGGATGGAATAAATACTGACAACTCATACAATAAATACTAGAGCTAATGAAAAAGCATAAGCTGTTTCTGAAGGCTGAGAAATGTGAATTTGAGGTACTAGAGACTGAATACCTCAAAGTCATAATCAGCAAAGGGAACATTCAGATAGATCTGGTCAAAGTGACAGAGGTGATGGAATGGCCAATGCTGATCAAGAAGAAGCTACAATCATTTCTCAGATTTACAAACTTTTACTACTAGTTTATCTGAGATTACAGCAAAGTTGTTCATCCCATGATACAACTTATAGAAAATGCCCTTTGGTCTGAAGAGATAGCTCAACAATCAGTGTTTGAAGACCTAAAGAGATGATTAGCTGAAAATATGATATTAGCAATATTAACAAAGAAAAGGTGATTCAGAGTGGAAGCTGATTCAAGTGAAGAAGCAATAGAAGTAGTACTCTCACAAAAACAAGACAGAAAATGGTAACCTGTCACCTTCTTCTCCAAGGCACTCACTACTACTGAGTGCAACTATGAAATCTACAACAAGAAACTACTCACTATCATGCTCACCCTTGCTGAATGGAGATACTATCTGATCAGTGCTATTCACACTTTTGAGGTCTGGACTAATCATCAAAACCTCTGATATTTCTGATTACTGCAAAAGCTCAACCAACAACAAGCCTGATGAGTCACTGAACTTTTACAATACTAATACACTCTATATCATAAAGTGGAGACAGCAAACAAAAAGGCAGACTTGTTAAGCTGCTGATCAGATCACAACCAAGATAAAGAGGACAATAGTAGAGTGATGCTCCTGAAGCCAGAGCACTTTAGAGTGATGATAATGCCAATAGAGAAGGAAATACATGAGTGGATCAAGAGCATGATATGACAAATATATTTGTGGAACCAATGCATTGCCTCCTCTATCAATAATAAATGAGGCATGATTAAATCAGGGGATTTAATCTACTATGATAACCAAATTTATATTCTCTGAGATCACATACTTCAAGGAGAGATTATTTCTATGTCTTATAACTATGCCACAGCAGGCCATCCAGAGATTGCAAAGACAAAAAAGTTAGTGCTAAGAGAGTATTGGTGGCTAAAAATAGAGCAGAATATCAAAAAGTACATCAAGGAGTGTGAGACTTGTCAATAGACCAAATCAAGCATCTAAGCATAAGCCATCCCACTTTATCCAAACAAAGTCTCTATGAAATCTTGGACTCACATCTCAGTCAACATGATCACTGGACTCTCAGATTGTAATGGCTATGATGCTATTATTGTTATTGTCAACCAGTTCTCAAAGGCAATCATCTCAGTCACATGCTTGACAGAACTATCTTTCAAGGGATGGGCAAAAATTCTATGAGATGAAGTCTATGCAAAATATGGAATGCCTCAGATCATCATTTCAGACTAGAGTCCATAATTTGTCTCTAAATTCCTCAATGATCTTTACCATCTTCTTAACATCTGAAGCAACACATTAACTGCTTATCATCCACAAACTGATAGGCAAACTGAGTGCATTAACCAGGAGATCAAAAAGTACCTTTAAATGTTCATCAACCACAGACAAGATGATTAGACTGAATGGCTTGCTCTAGTGGCTTTCCAGCACAACAACCACATTCACTCTGCAACCAACAAGATCTCCTTTTTCATTAATCATGGACATTATTCTCATATTCTGGTCACTATCCAATCCAACACTACAACTCCTACATCAACTGATTTTGCATAACTCATGTTTACAATCTACAATAAAACACATAGCCCTCAATAAAGCCACCATCATTATGAAGGCTCAATATGATAAACACCAGAGACCTGCTCATAATTACTCCATCAATGATAAGGTCTGGCTGGACACCAGCAACCTTCATTGCTCTTGACCAAAACATAAACTTGCTAACAAATAGATAGGATTATTCTTAATTCTAGCAAAAGTTGGTGTCTCTGTATATCATCTAAAACTCTCCAACTCCTGGCATATTCACCCTGTCTTTAATAAAACACTTCTAACCTCTTATATTGCATCTGCCTTCTCTAACTGGGAATTCCCTCCTCTGCCAGAGCCAGACTTGATTAAGAATGAAGAACACTATGAAATAGAACAAATTCTCAACTATAAACTGCAGAAAGTTCAGGCATGTAGTAAAGATACCTGAACTGTGATCTATTATTTTGTCAAGTGGAAAGGATATAGGCTGGAATCCAATCAATGGATCCATGAATGCAACATGACCATAGACAATGCTATATGAGACTATGAAACTTCCATCAATTAATCCATTGGAATGATGATCTTAAGAGAGATATGATGTTATGATTTTCTCTATATCTTATTCTTTTTCCTTATCTTATCAGGGCACTTATTTATCTTGAGTGCTTCTCTGAAGAGTGTGGGAAGGATTAGATAATCACAACAGATAGAGCATCATTGTACTTGGTCATCTCATTCACAGACAATTCCTCATTGTCCTATCTCTGACAACCAGACAGGATCAGCATCACAACACAGAACAGCACAATAGGTAGTAGTTATATTTATTACAAGCTGAACAGTATATAAGTGGGATAGCTCTCACTGTAGTAGTCCAGCTTCAAGCTATAAGTTTATCCTACACTATCTTCTCTCAAGCCCAGCTTTGACCTCAGCTTTAAAGCATTTCATCTGGTATAATACATTAAGTGAATTCTAGCATGACTGTACAAACACAATACAGCACTAGTCTATCACATGTCCAGGTCACATGCAAGCTAGGTCTAACACACTGATGAGATGAATGAATTCCATGCATCTAGAAGTGATGTAAGCAGTGTAATAGAGAAGTCCTCCTCCTCAACTTTCTGCTTAAGGGATGCCAGCTCCTCCTGATAGGACCTCATAATCCTAATGTGCTCCTCTATGTTTCCTCCTTCTTTGCACTGAGCCCTGAAGAATTTCCTTCTGACAAGGACAATTTCCATAGGTCTCCTGGACTCATACATATCTTTCAGAGCTTTTCAGGCTTCTGCTAAAGTCTTCAAACCAGCAATATACACCAGTGGGCCATCCAAAACCTGCAATCTTATTGTTGAAAGAGCCTTTCTATTACTCTTCTTCCAATCTGCCACCAGTGCTGCATCTGCCAGAGCCAGAGTGGTTCTGTCTGCATAATCAATTAGTCTTAAATCAGTTAGAATGTTGGTCATCTTGATTTTCCACATTGAGTAATTTTCCAGACCCTTAAGAGAGTCGATTCTATACATGGACTGGCTATCCATGTGGTTCTATGTGTGTATGTAAAGTACAAAAGAGTGTAAAGTGAGTAGTGACATAAGTTCAGTTATGGCTGGAGCTCATAACCTGTTGTAAGTACAGAGTAGAGTAAAGTACAGAGGATTAGATTAGCCTCTCAAGAGAGATGTTCTACTTAAATACATTTTCTACTACTTTGAGATCTTTCTATGAAATATTAAATAAGTATGGATCACAGTCCAAGTCAGCTGCCACTGATTGACATAGCATCTTTGAGTACATTCTCATACTTGCTTGGGATTGCTATCCCAACATACTTAAATACATTTTGTACTACTTCAAGATCCTTCTATGAAATACTATATAAGTCCAGATCATGGTCCAAGTCAGCTGCTGCTGATTGATGTAGCATCTTTGAGTACATTCTCATACTCATTCAGGATTGCTATCCCACCACATTCCAGACTCAAATGTGGCTTTCTGAGCTTCGATATCCAGCTCAGCCTCATTGACCTCAAAGTTTCGGTCAACAAACTCCCCCTTGGCCAAATATGATGGCCCAGGAACAAGGAATGCAGAATGGTCTCGAGCTCAATCCTGCTGTGCTCTCTCCTTTCTCCGAGAGACAACTTCTTTCTCTTTTGTGGTCATATGGTCTTCCACAATCTGAACTGCCTGAACTTGTTCCGTCAGCAGTCAATTCCCTGCTTGCCATTGCATTAAAACGGTGCCTTAAGGAGTCAAAGCTCTTGCTTTGGCGAAGGACCGCCCTACTATGAGGTTGAGGGACTGCCTCTTCATCTTCCTCATCCTCAACCACAGATGACGTCTCATCATATGAAAAGGTATACGAGGTACCAGAATATACACTATTATGCATAGGTACAAAATTCTGGGTATAACCAATGGACTCATCAATGTCCACGGTGTTCTCCTCCTGAGCCGCAAGGTCGGCATCAAGATCGGAAAGCACCTCCTGCGAGGAGATGCTGCGAGGCCTATCGGTCCCATCAGAGTGATGACGACAGCTCTCGCTATGGCTTACAGCCTCAAAGGCCTGTATACCAGACTCCTCATCAGAGGTCTGAGAGCTCCCAGAGAGCGAGGCTGGCAGAGGAACCTGATGAGCAGGAGGAGAGGAGAAGGGTGACATGCCTAAAGTCATCAAAGGACTGACGGCCGACGCAGGCATAGCAGATACCAGAGTCATACGACAACTACGGAGGTTGTAGCGGTGCGACGACATTTTGATTGCTTTCGTCGAGGTCGGATTAGGTCCAGGTGATCAAGCTGGGCGGTTCCAGAGTACGACGAAAGAGAGAGATAAGAAAATGTGAGTTTAGACGAGTTTAGAAGTAAAGCAGAGAGTTAACAGTCAATGGGCTGTCAAAAATAAGGAAGCGGTGACGAAGGACAAAACCTCACATGGCGAGCTCAAACCAAATGACAGAGATAGAGACTGTATTTGTCGAACTAGGGAAAAAAACCCTAAAATACGGAAGGGAGCGGGGTATATGCTATGCGCTGCAGTGGCTATGCTAACGAACGTGTCTGAGTAAATAAGGTAAGAAACGGGACTGTAGGCACCGGGCTGTAACACCCTTTCGACGGGGATGGATGATCAAAGCCTGTATTGATAGGATGGTCCCTACAACTGAGGCCATATGCTTTCTGATGCTACAAGCTCTTCCAGACTGGGTGCTCAATCTCCTTCTTAGAGAGGGCGAAACTTAGCAGGCTTGGCGTGAAAGAGTCTTGAATGCAAAAATAGTATTCATGTTAAGAGTTAACGATATTTCTCTCACCTCCGTGAGAAGAAAACGATTGTATCCTCGTATCATAAATAGCAAAAGAACTCATCATTTCATTCTCTGTATGACTAATTGGTATGTCCTGCTCCTCCGAAGAATGCTAGTGCTTCTGTCTTCCTCTCGTTTTCAAAATTACCATCTACGTCTGTAATCTCATCCTGTACTAGGTGAGTAGTGTTCAAAGAAGAGTGAGAAGTCCGAGAACTCACTATGTTCTTTAGATGATCTTCCTTTGCAATGTGAGTGACCTTGACTCTGAGCGGCGGTGGGTTATCGGAATCCACATGTCCCTGGTATGAAGGCTTATTTTAAAAAAACCTGAATAAGTAAAATATAGCCAGAAATCGCAGCGGAATACAAACATCAAGAGAGATAACTGCACGCGTCCAAGCCGTGTTCATCAATCCAGTGTATGACTCCTCTCTATTGGATTCTGGGTCGTAACTTAACAGTGCATGGACAAGTTCTCCGATACATAATCCATGGCTCGCCAGAGCTATGTGAAACCCATCTTCCTCTGTAAGGTGAGCGAAGATGCATTCCTTGACGGCTCCATGTGCTCGACCCGCAAGTTCATCGATACTCTCCCCACCTGGAAATCTACCGGAGCGGTCGAAGAAGGCTGGGAAGATGCCGGTCTTGTAACATTCATCAAGGGACATATGATCTGGATATGTATAACACCAAGAGTACCCTTCGGCGATACCAAAATGCTGCTCGCGAAGATTGGGGTTGAGGATCAGAGGCGGCGGCTTGGGTTGTCCATTCTGAACAGCCATTCCTGTATGATGAGCGCGAAGTAAGGGAGAGGCATAGATCACGTCGATCTTTGTTGATGCGAGGTGCTCGCCTAGCGCTCTTGCTTGCTACATTTGATAAACATTTCGGGGGCAGAGAGTGTTGGTCATCTCGGGACGAACCTTGCGACCTGGAGATCTGGAATTATCTCATCTGTTTTCATAGTGAAAGCAAAAAAAACGCGCCTAAATCAGAGAGTGGGGCATCTTTCCACCCACCCCAAACGGCTCTCTACCGAGATCGGGTCGGATGGGTTAAGTTGGAAAGAAAGAAGGAATCTAACTGGATTATCCGTTGACTCTCCATGTCTAATCTGCGTTCGATGAGTCAATACGATTCAATGGCGAACTAAATCTGACTCACAAAGGTAACAATGATCATCGTTGATAGTTAAATCTCGGGTGCCGGACCGGAATCATTCCTTCGGTGGGTGTATCTGAATTTGGCCCTATTATGTCCACGTGGTGACCATCTCGGTACCGTGACTTACACTAGACCTGGCTAGACTCAGATTAGTAACACCTTGGCGACCAACAACGAACTTGAACCGCTACCACCATCTGCACTCTACTTACTAGCAATGTTTCTACATGTTTAATCGATATGAAGAGATCTACACGCATCAACGATAAGCCAATCACAAGCGACAATGCGAACACGTCGACGTCAGCTCGCCCTAGCAAGACGCGAAAGGTTATGTCTGCCATGGCAGCAGAAGATTCTCTGTCTCTTTCCAAGATAAGACGAGGTCGTCTGGCCCAGTTTTTCAAATCTCAGCTGGCCAAAGTGCCACTCGAAATCTATCTTGAGGTGCACGACTTCATGTCTCCTAGCCGAGGCGCGCCGTCTGATCATGGGTATCGGTGGTAGATTTTTTCGTATCTAGGTTCTGTGGATCTTCTGCGTCTGTCAAGGACCACAAAACATTTCAGGAACTTCCTGATGAGTCGTTCTGTTCTTTCTTTGTGGAAGAGCGCGTTCTCATATGTAGCTCCTTTGTCGAAATTGTATCCGCCGATGAGCGAGCCCGCGATCATAGACTTCGTATTTGAAAAGGGTTGCAATGTGAGTGACTTTTGATGAAGAAGGCTGTGATTGACAATTTTTGGTAGTATTGTGCCTCGAACAAACATTCATACCCAATGACGATGACGACAACAAAAAATGCATCTCTAGACTATAGGGTTTACCACGTCAATATTGATGTGTGCTGATCGTATGAAAATTTCTAGTCATGTTTCCGAGTCTGCGCTATTGATCAATAGCAAAACATCTGGACTTGGCAAATTCATACAGGCCCGGCACTCCATCTCTTTTATTGAACGTCGACCGGTTCAAAAAGAAGGTGCGTTCCTCCATGGGTAGTGAATTCCAAGACTTCATGTGATTATGAAAAGATGGTGTCCACTTTACGTACTTTCTGCCCACAATGGAGCGTCTCGGTCCAGAATGCGATGCCTTGAATGGGGATCAGAGGGCTATTTCTAAGTGGATCAAGGAAAAGCGTTACGAGTGGAATGCGTATATGGACGTATGCAATCTCTAACAGAGTGTTATTCTGAAGCCGATGTTGCGTTCTTTCAGTCCGTGTTCGTCGCGACAGTTTAGTTAGATGAGCAAGAAACTGCCCGAAAGGACAGTTTAATGATGGATCGTCTTTCTGAGTAATACGGATCTTCAATACTATGGTGTTCAAAACTCAACTGACATTCTTTGCTTAGGGTGAACCGAAGACTTGCTACTCTTGGCTGGGGTGACGAGCTTGCCAGACTACCTCCAGGTCACATCGCAGATCACAAGCTAGTTAAGAAGTCGGAGAAACTTACACAGAAAGGTTTGTAACAACACATTATCATTATTTTGCTGACCAGACGTGTTGATAAACTTAGAATGGGCAAGGATGGAGCCTGTGCTGGTCAATATCCTTCAAAAGCACAAGGACAAATGACTGCTGTCCGACCGAAGCAATGGAGTTCGAGACATTCTATCGGATAGGCTTAAATGCTATCTCATATCCTCATCGACTTCGTTCGCGCCCGACTATGTAACCCTTGCTGCGATGGAGGACTGCAAGCGAATCTTGGATACGACGCCTTTGGATCAGGTGCTCACTGAAGAATCTTTCTCCTCGGTGTTCACCCGACTGTCGAATATTGTTCATGAATGGCACACTGCAAAACAGGCTGAGTGTCTGACAATGCTGCGTCGGGCAACCCGCACTGCCGTCGATGAGGAGGACCTCTACCTGGCGACGACTGTGTTCCAGTGTCTTGCATGCGAATAGCCTGTAATGTATCCCAAGGTCTTGGTGCACCAGTGCAAACAGTTATGAAGACAACGAGCCTCTTGTCCTCAAAACATCGATGAATTACCGTGGCTCAAGTCTCGAAAGCTATTCAGGTTCCATAAGCAAGCCTCTGCCGCCGCCCAGACGATCGTTATTGCATGCGGCCTTGACCCAAAAGATGCTACTTACACGCATATGAATACTTTGCATCTTTTTTTCGAATGTCTTGGTCGTCATGATTTCGGGCGATTGGTGCTGCGATGGCAACAGGGGGTATGTATATCATGTTATTATATATATAGGATTCTCATCTAAACTATTTCATAGCTTGTCCACAGGCTGGACCACAGCTCCACTCCGGAGTTTGCTTTGCTCGAGGGTCGGGACAAGGAGACAGCCGAAGGCAACGATATCGCACGGTGGCAACAGATATACAATGAGGGCTTGAATTGCTTCCGCTGCTCGGACTGCGATGAGATTTGTGAGGCATCGATGCTGGGACAACACCTTGCGAATTTATAAGTCCTTTTCTGGCGTCTGCCGCGTTATTCGTGACAGAGCTAACTGGGGATCTTGAAGCCATCCTAGTCTCGCGGAACTGGAGTTCGCGAGGAAGCTCGCTCACATCAGACAGCCCTCTTCCAGATGCATTCATCAGTTTACCGGATACTAGATGTCGCGTGCGCACGCAGGAATAGGTTTACATTTACGTCCACCATATCGCCCGGATAATCAAGTGTTTTAAGAAAACTAAATGGCATATTACGCTATGGCTACCTTCCCGCCAGGTGCCGGCCATAGTTGATCTCTAAAGTACCAAGGAGTGTCATAGTACATCTTCTTTTCAATGGTGAGGTACTCTACTACGCGTCGAGGTTTTGCGGGTACCGACGTACCGCCGATCGGAGAGGCCACCGTACCGTCTGCTGGCGGGTGTACTGCCAGACCTTTTTGATTATAGATTTCAAGGCTCTGGAAAGAATGAGGGACTGCTGCTAACTCAAAAAAGATGCCTTCTGACCTGCTCAGTCTCGAGCCTCACGAGAGCTTGTACGACCAATCGGTTCCCAAACGCGGGAGGAGTTGCCCCCAGATGACCCTCTGTACAGCGTATAGATATGATCTTGATAGGAGCCAGTTCTTTGTGGAAACGCCAGATGTATGTGAGTTTGGGGTCTGCTTTATTCATGCGTGACATAACGTCATCGCGATACTTGATATTTGCAAGTTGCTTGACACGCTTGATGTCCCGCCTGCGGAGAAGTGAGCTTATTGCATTAGAGTAAGGATGGTACGATGTACTTGGCAGTGGCGGCATTGAGATCTTTGTACGTCTGCAGCGCAATCTGACGCAGAGGGCCGACCCAATCGCCTGGGGCAGTTGAAGTGCATTTGAGGGATTGTAGCGGCCAGGAGATGAATTTTTCAAATAGGTTCTTTGCGGAAATGTCCCGGCCTGGGAAACTGTCGTGTGTAGCTAGTTGCCACATGCTTGATCATGGTGAATTTGCGTCGGACTGAAGAGACAGGGCACTCACCAAAGGATGTTCTTGACTTTGTTCTCCACATTGCTGAACCATTGCCGTCCCGCTTCCAGTGGATTCTTCTTGTATTCTGGCCGCCATGGTGCGAAGCGGTATGGTATCATGACATCTTTGCTTGTGCGAACCGACGTAAGCCAGGAAGAGTAAACTGGAAAATGGAAGATGCCTACCGAGAGTTGGTGCGTCGAGTGCCCAAGGATCAAACTGGGGATTCATGGCGGAAAAGATGCGCAGTTTTTCGAGTTCATTGATGGCAGATTCCGGGTCGTTCTGCTGTTCTCTTGCTTTTGCTTCATAGTCCTTCTGGGCTTGTTTCATGGAGGCCTTTCGCTTCTTTGCAACCGAGGTACGGACAATTGTCCGGTATTGGGTATACGGCAAAGATACTGGAGGAAGACGCGTCCATGCTCGGTAGGTAAGACAAGAACTGTATCCTATTCGCTGTAGGTTCATCGCAAGTGAAGGAAGGAGGAAAGGGGGATGCCGGCAAACAACATTTGCCATTTCCTTTTTCGTAAAACAAAAATTGAGCAAAAATTGCCATCAATTCAGGGTGCATATGTTCATTCTTTCCAACATACTTATCCCGAATTAAAAAATAGACGTTTCGTTGGTTAAGATCCTTTTTGAATATGCACAGGTCGTCCAAAATCCAATGCCGAGGATTACGCCGCACGGCTTACTCAGCGAATCACTTCGGCAGAGCCGGACGGCATCTTCTGGTGAACGGCACCGTCAAAGCTTTGTTTCTAACCACCATCTCGTTTCTCGTTCACTATGCCTGTAAGTTTTTTTTTGATCGTTTTCCTTGTTTTACTTTGCTCAGGATACGCATTTTCTCTAGCGTCAATCACGTCCCCGCGCTTCCGGTCCAGCCCGAGCTGCACCTGCTCCAGCACAGACCAGAAGTGCCCATACCGCAGCTGCCCCTGCATCTGCCTTTGCTTCTCCCTCTCCTGCCAGGGCACCAGCACCACCTGCAAATGTACCCCATGCACCGACGTCGACAGCGACACCATCTAAGGAGCCAGGACTGATGGCCCAAATGGCGGCCACGGCTGGCTCAGTAGCCATCGGTTCGACCATCGGCCATGGCCTCTCCAACATGCTTTTCGGTGGAGGAAGCGCTGCGGCTGCTGAAGCCCCCACTCAGGCTCAAGCTCCTGTCCAGCAACAACAGGCAGGCGGATTGAGCTGTGAAGCGCAAGCGAAAGGTATATGCGTCATCTCTGTGATGGGACAAATCTGATTGGCTTTCGAAAAGATTTCACCAAGTGCCTGGATAAGGCAGATCTCCCGTCATGCACATGGTACCTCGAGCAGCTGAAGGCGGTTAGTATCCTTTCTTCCTCACCAGATGTCGAGGTCTAATTTACTGTCCCCGAAGTGCCAAGCTGCCGCTGCTCCTTATTAGATGCCGCCCAGTCGTGCGTAGACTTTAATCCCTAGATCCATGCGATAGAATCTTCAAGAAGAGATATCTTATCCGATATCTTTTTACCTCCATAACAACGCTGTCGTATGTGCATCAAATAAAAAGTTGATTAGCCATTTGTTAGCGGTCTACCGCGCTCGCGAAGAAATCTCTCCGGAGCTCGACGGAGAATTGATGTCAGAACATCAAGACTCATATAAAGACCAAGAACACTAGCCGCAGATTCATAGAGAATACAAGATTATGATGCTATACTACAACATATATGCATTGAACAAACACGAAGTCCACCGGCCCAAGTCATGTCTCCCTCAGGATACCACCCAATAACTGATTGACTTCCCCGAGCCTGAACCCCTCCATGGTAGGTGTCTTCGACCTAACAGCCGAATTCAGAATGGTCTCAATCATGTCCAACAAATGACCATACAGCGCATTCAATGCGTCACTATTATGCAAAAGCGGAGGGGGTGTCCAGGGAATCAAACGTCCAGGAAACCTCCGTGTCCGAACGTTCATAGGATGCACTGGTTTACACAACAAAAAGCTATACAGGAAGCTGCAGCAGTAACATGTTTGGTGATGCAATGGAAGGGCAACGATCCTGTTCGACTCCTGGAAGAATTTAACAAGGACTCATTGGAAGAAACGTGAGTCCAGCCTGACCTTGAAACCATATGTATTATCCCAATCAAAGTGTCTCCACATAGTTTCACCGAGGTAGTCCATTAGCAGCGCCTCCGAATGCACACCCCCGATGAAGTTCTGGTATCTGTCACCGGGCTGGGGAAACAATTTCTCAACAGCTTCGAGTATGTCCTGTAGTTGCTCCTCGCTCCACACTCTGGGTTTTTCGTCCATTGTCAAGGGATCATAGTCCTCTTGTTCCAAGAGAAACCTGATGGACATCGCTGGAGAGTACATCAGCAGAGGTCTTGCCGACGCCGGATCCATGTTGCGAGTCGCCGGCTGGAAAGAATAGACGATACGGAGTGTCGGGAGGCCTTCGTTCTCAGCGCGCTCCGCCACAATGGAAGCGAGGGTATCCAACGAATCAAACCAGGCGAGCAAAGTCTGCAGATAGCGTAGAAGGTGCTCCCCTGGTAACTCATCGTCCCGCCTCTCGTCATCTGAAATGCTCGTTCAAAAGGGGTATCTCAGAAGAAACGAAAAGACGCCATACGTACCTATGTTCTTGTGTCCAGACCTATTGTCAGGTTCGAAACTCTCAGTATCCATCTGGCCCTCGCAAGAAATCAGATGCGAAGCTAGCGACGGTGCTTTTAATATTCTTTGGATCCCTGCGCAGTCAAGAATTTCTGTCAGAACCGACGTGCCCTCGATCAAGGTGTCGAGTTCATAGTCGGCGTTGCGGTCGGCGTCGAACGTCAGGGCGCTGTCGATGATTGCCTCAAGGATATCGCATAGAATGGAGAACCATTCTCCCGCTGTTTCCAGCGTCAATGCATATTCATCCTGTCCTTCGAAAACATTCTCGTCTCTCTCAATGTCCTTTGATTGCAGCAGCTTTGCGAGAAGACTCTTCCTATGGATTGCTTCCCAGCCGTCGGTCTCCCCGATAATACACATCTCATCTTCAGGTTGGGGTTTCCACGCCCGAAGGAAGTTTACAAAGCTGCTGTAGATGTAGTGATTGAATGGAATCACAGATTCGGAGGCGAAGATACGAGTGAATATGTCAGGCCAGCATTGTCGGAAGATATAACGACAAGCCCTCAGGAGCCGCTCCGAGTCTTTTGAATTGGCAAGTGTAAAGATGATTTCCATAAGGTCTTCCGCGTAGCACGTTATGTCGGGTGTCAATCTACATAAGTCAGGCGTTGGTTAATCGGCCCGAAGTTGAAGAAATTGGAGAGAAAAAAACGTACATTGTAGTCTCCGAAAAATATTCTAGACCTGATTCGCCAGGCTGGATGATAACACGGTGCAACGGCTGTGATAACTGTGGCTCAATGTCCATAGCATTGCGCGACGGAGACGATTGTGACCACCGAGAGCGGTCATCGACTACGACGAAGGCAGTCATGAACTGAGGAATCGGGACCGCAGAGTCCGTCTCTACAAGAGGATTGTTCCCTGGTCTACCCAAAATATGGTTTCCCGTCACCACGACAGGCTGATGCTGTCGAGAGTCCCTGGTGAGAAGTGTGGCAAGGCAGCTATACGCACGAAAAATACTCCTCTTCTCTGGAGGTGAATCCAGTTTAGGCGTGTGATCCTCGGTAACCCAGATAGCATTGGAGAGACTTCGAATCCGGAGCGACATGTCTTCAAAATATTCAACGTCGAATGGCTCTTCCTCGTCGTCATCATCGTCGTAGGCGGCCGGGTCAGCCATGAGAGATCGTCGTGGAAGACTGCGAAAAGAAGCACGATACTATACGCAGTCTCTCTATGAAGGATGTGTAGTTCTGAGGTCAAAACCCAAGCCGCGTCCGGCAATAGCCAGATTCATCTAACATGAGTCAGATAGAGAAGATTAGAACAACGAGGCGTGTATATCCAGTGCCGACAGAGCAGATCTTTAGACGCTGTAGTGTAAGGACCGGAGCTTGAATTTTGTGATATTTAGTGATCCTATCAAGCGGCAGTTAGCACTTATGTGGAGAGTATGATAAATTAAGATGAAAGCATGACCCTTAGCTGCGAGGTGGTGTCATCTTTCTACTACAGTTGACTATCTCACAATGCATACGGTCGGGAGACACCAAAACCATATGCATTTATAGATTTATGCAGAACCAAAATAGCATGTGATGTGACATGTGACATATGTGACAATGTCGTTGTTGCCCCAAAATGCTGTCAGTGGCTTTTGGGTCAGCTTTCCATGCATCTCCTTGAATAATGCTCCTCTGAACTTCCTCAGCTGTGGTACTAATCCACCCTGGTCACCTTGTGAAACACAAAATGCCTCCAGCTTTTGAATAAGCTCAAATCCTTCCCTTGTAGTTATTAAGGTCTGTTCTTCCTCACCCTCCTCTTCCTCCTCTTCCTCCTCATCATCATCAATGACAGTTATTTCCCCATTTTCTACTGCAATATCATGCTTGACAGCAGCAACAATCTCCTCATCTGTTGGCATCACCTCAAGATCTTCAGTATACTCTTCTGCAATAGGGCTAACCATCTCTTCAATGGTTGGAATGGGACCAAACATGCAATTTCATTGTTTCAATTTGACAAGATGGTCCTTCAACATGATCTCTGCTGTCTGGAGCTGTTGAATGGGGGCAATTTGGGTGGAAGGTGTGTTCATTTTTGACTGTGATAAAGGAGCCAACTGATTGACTGCCTCCAGTACTTTACCAACATCATTCTCTGCATTCATAACAGCCATAAGAGCAGGATGCCAGTCAGCATCAGCATATTGATTTCCAAGCAGATTCTGCAATGCCTGTTTGATCCCTGGAAGTGTGTATTTGTCTGTTGAGGCAAAGTCACAAACAAGATTCCATGCAGACTTGAGGAGTGAGGCATTTTGGAAATCATTGGATGGTGTGGTGGGCTGTGATTCAGGTGCATTGTCAGACATTATACCAGTGTGTTTCCAGCAGTTTGCTATCGTTTCACTGCTGACATTTGTCCAAGCATCATGAGCAATAGTTATAGCTTCAAGGAGATCAAGCTTGAAGATCTCAGACTCTCCAAGATCATCAAAATCAAGTGCATGGATACACATGACATTCCGATAATGTGCCTTGAAGCAGTGGATAATACCAGTATCTAGTGGTTGGACATATGGGGTCAGATTGGGCTCAAAAAACTCCAGCTTTGTGTTATGAGGTGTATAAGCAATGGAATGCCCTCAAAAGTTGTCTAAGATCAGCAGAACCTGTTGCATCTCTCTCTTCATCTTTAAATCAAACATCTTCACCCACTCTGTAAATATTTTGCTTATCATTCAGACCTTCTTGTTGTTCCAATAATAGAATCTCATTGCTGTTGGACTCTTTTTTTTGAAACACCATAGTTGCTTCAACTTTCCAATGAAAACAACTGGCATTTGCTCACTCTCATCTGCATTCACAGTAAAACACATGGTGATGTGGAACTTGTCCTGTTTCCATCCACTCATAGGACCAGATGCCAAGGTATGATCTGGGATGGCAAAGATGACAAGACCAGATTTATCAATATTCCATCTGTCCTGCATTGCATATTTCACCATAATGCTGTGAAAGCACACATGTTCTTTTTCCACTGCTGCCATATCCACTGAGCCTGCTTCTCCATGCTGCTGAACCTCCTGAATCTTCCATGCCTTGCAGAATGACCTCAACTATCTCTCTCCTTTCAAACACTGATCCTCTGGAATATTCATCAGATTTTCAATTTAATTTCACTTCTCTATCAGCATTACACTGGTTACAGTCTCACCTCAGAGCTGCATATTCTGATACCAGGATGCAACAGCATGCTTCACATCAGGTTGAGTGACAATGTGAGACTTTTTGAATGATAATGCATTAGAGTTCTCATTTGCATGCTGTTTGATTTTTGTATGAGATGCCAGTTTCCATAAAAGAGTTGGTTGAGTAAAGAGCAGTGCACCTTTCTTTCAGTTTGTGAAATGTGCCACAATATCAGCATATCGATGAGAAGGATGGTTATCAACATATTTGAATACTATGAGTCAGTCTCCTGTTGTGAAGTGTGGGTGAGAGATCTGCTTTGAAGGCTGAGCCGATGATGTGTATATTGGAACTTTCTCCTTCTGTTTTATATGCTTGTATGGATTTCAAGGTTTAGCACATGGTTTTCATGTTGGTTCAGGAGGCATGTTTATAGAGATATAGGCTGCACCACTTTACAATAATTTTTTTTTGTGTTTGTTATAGTCTATACAAACAAATTATATTCTTTATTGTTCTAATATATGCACAATGTCCTATCAGCTTACTACAATTTTGGATCTGACAATGCATATTCCTAACTAAAACCATATGCATTTCTAGCCTATTTTCCTGCTCTCCAACTGTGTTCCAGCCCAATCTGTATGCAAAGTCAGAATTATGCATTTTGATATCATGCATTGTGAGATAGTCAACTGTATATTAAACAACTCCAGCAGTGCTTCAGCAATGCTATATTTCACTGTTTGCACTCCATAGCTTCTTCTGGATGGGCCTGCAAGCTTTCTGGAATGACCTGGATTGAAACCCTACTGGCTGCTTCAAACTCTGGAATATGTCAATATAAAACCACAGATCAAGGCCGAACGTAACCCTATTGACCTGGGATGATATGGCCGCTCAATTATCCAGGCAGGCGTCACACCCAACAGTCAACAGCTGGCTTTTCATGTTATAGACCAACTGACGCATGAGGTGAGCAAATAGGCACTAATGTTCTTCATCACAGTAGGAGAAGACACAAAAGATGAAAAGCATCAAATTTCTCAAACATCACTGGAGCCCTTATTTTCTCCTTCAGCATAAGACACATACACAAATTGACTGCAGACAGAAACTTGGGAAATGATGGCAAATTGATAGACCAAAGGCACTATCTATTCTGGTAAATTTTGGAATGCCTGCTTTGAGAATCAGTCGTCACAGAAATAACAGTATTAGAATGGCTAACTGACAATCACATTTCTTATGCTTCTCTTCCCACCACCTCTGCCATCTCTCCCAGGGTTCTGAATTTTCAGGTCCACTTTTGATTTCCTTCATCAGCCCCCATGGTAGCACCCTGCCGGTTGATCCATGTGCTTCATATTCCCAAGCTGCTAGCAGGTTCAACATCATGAAACAAACTCTGTGCTACTCAGGACCTTTTCCTTCATATCTTTCAGGGTAGAAGTATCCAGAAGGTCTTTCTGGATGATGTCAAGGGCCGTGAGAAATCCAGGGAGTGCAGGCTTGTAACTGTGGACATCCTGCACCATCAGAATGAGAGAAAAAGAGGACTGAGACCCCTCTGTTTTCTGGGAAAACCAATAGTCATTTGGGTTAGGTTCGGGGCAGGCATACAAAGGTGATGAGACTGCAGACGGATCACCGGTAGAGAGTTTGGCGTGTGTGTGGGCGAATGAGGTATGATCAACATTGGATAAGACAACAAGCTTGTAGTATTTGGCAAGGTTATGGAGGGCTTCAGAACTGTCAGAAAAAATGAACCAGTTCTTGATGGAATTGCTGAATACAACATAGACATCTGAGATGTCTGGGATAGGCTTGCCATAGAGATTATCTAGGTGCTTCTCTAAGACCTCATGAGCTTTTGCCAGGACATCTGTGTACAGAAGGTCCAGCTGCACAATCTGGATTTCCTTTTCCACTGACTCAAATTCCTTCAGGATATCTGCACAGGACCACTTTGCAGAAGGATAGCGGGATAACAGAGGCTGCATCACATTATAAATGCCGCTTTTTCAGTCCTGCAAACAACATGACTATGACAGATTCCTGCCAGTGAATTCCAAGTAGAAATATGAACCATAAGGGTCCTGTAAACATTGAAGACCAAGATCTTGAAGTTGGTTAACTTGGAGGTACTTTCTGCCATGATTATTCTATATCACAATGATGCGGTGATTGTAAAAGACAGAAAAGAGACCGGAGCAAGCAAGAATCAGATTTACTATATCTCCCCCCTGATTTAATATTTCCACAGCCCTGAGGTCGGATTTGAAAATTATTTTGATATGAAGACGAGGCCAATGAAGGTTATTAGGAACCATTGATATCCACCATAGTGATAAAAAATAAGAGGAAAAACAACTCTGTGCCTTGTTTTACATAATCATTCAGATACTTGTTCCTCCGCCACGTGCCAGCCCCACATCATTCTTCCCATATTTCGAGTGGTAGTCAGTGTTTGGCACAAGATTCATACCGATATGTGTCCTGTCACTAGCAAGACATTTTAGTTTTCTGCTTCTCAGAATGATGCCAAGAATAAAGCGTTCAATACAGTATAGATATGGCACTCTGCTTGTATATGCCTGATCAGAAGAGTCAGGCACCTTTGCCGCTTGTACTTCAAGTCTGCAGCATTAACCCCCCGGCAGAGTATATGTCAGCAGATGAAAGAAGCGGTAGTTGGTCATCCCCCTCTGGGAATACAAGCTCTCGAGCAGCCCATCGCAAAGCACTGTAAGAATTTGAAGTCATGCCAGCACGTCTTGTAGATGACCCCATGAAACTCAGCAAACAACTGTTGATAAATCAAAATCAGCAAGGTGTGTATAGCCACCAGCATCGATGAGGACATTTCTAAGAGGGCTGTTCATTAGTTATGAAAGCAGGAAAAAATGTGACGAGGTTCATATGCTATGCAGATCACCATGGACTATATTTTTTGAATGAACTCCAAAGTTGGAAGCATTGATCAAATTGAAGTAGTATCCTATCTATAACTTATGATAGGTTAAGCCAGAGCAAACTTCAATAAGCTATGTAGGAATTCAAGGTTTATGTGAGGCTGGACTGAAGGGCATAGAAACCTTACAAGTTGGAGGTGAGGTCTCTCTATGACCTCTGTCTTCACCTGACAGAATTTCAAGTAGTCTACAAGGGTTCCATTTATCATCCAGAGGCAAACAATTCCAGTGGCCATTGTGGGGTGAACATGTGGACAGACAGAGACAAAATTTCAGCATATTCCAAGAAGGGGAAGCACATTCAGGCAATGGGACATACTTGTTGGGCCATTGTAAAGGCAGATTCCAAGGGTAGAGAGTGTTTTTGCAGGCCTCTGCATGGCTCTCAAGGTTGTCACAATCTCTGTCAACACAGAGATACAGAGCTCCACTCACCCATGAAGAGGGATTGCTGGTGCCATCTCTGTCTCAGTGCCAAGTCTCAGCTGATGCTGATTCATGAGAGACATTGGTGCCAGGTGTCTCTTCTTCATTCCCACTTTCATCCTGCATTCCTAGGTGAGATGAGCTCTGCTCTCTCACTGTCAATCTTTCCTGACCACCTTAAGCCTAGACTACTCAAGTGAGCCAATTGTGAGATAAAGGAAGAGGTGGAGTCTCACCAGGCAACAGGAGTTACTAACAAGTGAAGGAGGAGGCAAAGCCTCAAAGCCTGGGATTGGTGGTCAGGAAAGATTGACAGTGAGAGAGTGGAGCTCATCTCACCTAGGAATGCAAGATGAAAATGGGAATGAAGAAGTGACACCTGGTGTTGATTCATCAGCAGCATCAGCTGAGACTCGGCACTGAGACAGAAACGGCACCAGCGATCCCTCTTCATGGGCGAGCGGAGCTCCATATCTCTGCATCGACAGAGATTGTGACAACCTCGAGAGCCATGCAGAGGCCTGCAAAAATGCTCCCTACCCTTGGAATTCCTCGACAAGGTCTTCGCAACGTTTAGCCAAGGCAGTTGGGCTTAGACATCTCTGTATCGAAACATCCGCTAGTATCTCTTTCATGCTTGGCCGGCGATTGCCCGTTTGCAAAGTCATTCGCGGAAAGGCTACACTTTCTTCCGACTGTGTTTCTGACTCCGCGCGCAGCAAAGTGAGGTTTTGCAGCTCCCCAACGATTCCTCGAGATGTAGGACGCAGATCGGCTCTAGCTAAACATTACTCTACCGACGACCAAAGTAGATTTGACGAAATCACCGAATATGGAGGGCGTGAAGGCCCTTTTCTCATAATCGTTTCTACAACGACAGCTGCATCTGTCTTTAGATGGTGATAGGGAGGTTTCCCTGTGTAAATCTACTCAGAATGGGTGAGTATCCATATGAGAACACAAGATGTGATTCTTTATGAAGGTCTCCAGAGCATCGGCTTGTTGAACGGCATCAGATATTTTAACGGAGGCTAGAGTGAGTGAAGAATAGAAAGGGACACAGCGGGGCCCAGCTGTATTGGGCGCACCGTTATGTGCAGCGCAGTGGTAAGCCCTTCTCCGCTTGGAGCAAGAATGGAGCAAGTGATATTTAAGTACTTAAAACGGAACATAGAATTTTCGCCCGACGCTGACATTCTCCTTTTGGTACCAATGACGAGTCTAGGTGCTTACTACGAAGACTGTCTCTTCGACAAAGAGCTGAGAGAAAGCAAGGCATTTATCGGTCCTGCCTCACCGATAAGTACGTGCTGATACGGCTATTACTGGACGGCAACGTAGTCCCAAGCCTGTCAGACATAGATTCCGATAGAATATGACGACAATGGTCATGGAGAGACTCCGGCGTCTGATGTCGGATGAGCATAAAAAGTCCCGCACGAGTTTAAAAATCTGAAGGCTCGAGCTTCATTCTCACGACCCTAAGAAGAGAATTGTCGATATGGAAAGAGGGGAGAGATAGAGACGTACCGGTATGTGCGAGGAGTCCCTCCCAGGCCGTATTATAGCCCAAATAGTCTTGAGGTTCTGTCCCAGAGGACGAAGTCCTTGTGTTGAACCGGTTGAAACGAACGTCCCACCCGGTGCCAGATACGATGGGCTATGCGTAAACAACGAAGGGTCCTGTAGAGCCATTATGAAATGAATCGGAACGTGTTGGATGCTGGTGTGTTCGTTCTACTACACTATCGAACGAACACACCAGCATCCAAGATGACATGGAATTTCGGCGAGGGAGGATTCGCGTCGAAGCATTCGTGTAAAGGCTGTTTGGCGTAATCGACAACCTCGTCCGCCCAAGACTTCTGACAAACTCGTCGTTTTTTTCTGCAGTGCTCGCAACGACGCGAGAAGCACCGTGTGCTATGGCGATTTGGATAGCATAGGAGCCGACGGATGAACTACCGCCGTTGATGAGTACGGTTTGTCCCGCCTTGAAGTCCCCGACGTTGACGAGCCCTTGCAGTGCTGAGTCCTACGACGGTGATTCCAGCAGCTTGCGTGGGGATGTTGCTTGGCCGGCTAATCAGACACTCAGCAGGAACGCGAGCATATTCTTGCAAGGGGCCTTGATGAGTTTTAAGACAATACTAGTAGCGTGCTTGCGGAACGTATCACAATCGAGCGGATATGAGCGCACCTGGAGATATAAAGCCATTCGGATCCTCAACGACACCGGCAAAGTCATATTCCCCAGGTACAGGTCCCCAGCGATAAAATTGGGCAGAACTTGCATGAACTCATTTTCACTGAGAAACATGAGCTTAGCAGGTCCCGAGGTCCCACCTGGAAATTGCAGATAACGTTGCAGGAACCATCATATTCCATCGCGGCGAAATTCAAATGTACAGTGCGCAGCATCAAAATGTTGAAAGAATAGTAACAATTTGTGCCTCAGGGCGAGTACTTGTGCTTTCATCCCAGGCCTTCGTCGTCGTTCAAACATGTCGCTGCTCCCTGTCAAGAAATCGGTGGGCCGAACACTACCATTGACGGAGAGAATGGAAGAAAATCTTTTACATCTGCCTCACTGCCTCTAAAACGTTCCTGAACATTAGCTTGGGGCTTGTCGACATTGTCGACATATTTGACAATGTCAGCAACAAGGAACAAACAGCTTCCTTGGCTTCGGGGGCTTGCTGATAGATTCGTTATTCATTGCTAGCGATAAGGATTTGCTGGCAAGCGAGTTATCGTCGTTCGGCGATGGCCTCTCATGGTCGTCGTCAAGAAATGTTCGACGGTGAATAGCCGGAAACAACCGAGCACCCATTCAACGCCTACTACCATCGTCTTGTCATCGCGCTGTCCAGTGTAGACACTGTCGACGTTCCTAAGGGCAAAAATTCTTATCTCGGCCCATCTGGGCAAAACTTCTTCGACGTCGACAACGCATGTGCTTCTCATCCCCCTTATAAGGACCGCGATTCTAGCTCGATAGTTCGGTTTCTTACTGTGAATGGCTTCTCAAACTCAACAAGCGTGGATCGTCGAGAGGCAGGGAGAGCCCAAGGATGCGTTGTCATTCAGGACTGACTGGCCGGTGCCATCAAGGCTAGCGAAGGGCGAGGTTCTCGTCAAGGTCCAGGCCGCCGCGCTGAATCCCGTGTACGTGTTTTTGGCCTATCGTGAGTGAATCTGCCGTTAGAGCTGATTATATGCGCATAGTGGATACAAATTGATGCGTTCTTTACCGAATTTCGTGGCAAGGAGACCCATTCCGGCTGAGTACGACCTTGCTGGGATTATCGAGGACCCAAACGATTCTCAGTTCTCGAAAGATGACAGTGTTTTCGGCGTACTCCACATTTGTGAGTCTTTGTCGCTATTCTCACTGTTTAAATTCCTGAACTGTAGCCAGTGAAGTCACTCAAGATAAGAGAGGGTGCTCTGCAGCAGTATGCCCGGGTACCAGCGACCTATCTGATTCGACGACCTCAAAATATTACACCTATTGAAGCCGTTGGTGTTACGTTAGCTGCAGAGACAGCGTGGCAGGCTCTCTTTGATTGTGCGGGATTCGAGGCCGGTCAAACCGTTTTCATCAACGGCGGAAGCTCGTCTGTCGGTGCATTTGCTATCCAGATTGCTAAAGCCAAAGGCGCGACTCGAGTCGTTGCCAGTGCGTCAGGGGAGAATGAAGAGCTTGTCAAGAGTCTCGGGGCTGACGAATTCATCGACTACATGAAGCAACCCTTACACGAATATCTCGCTCAGAACCCGCCATCGCCAAAATTCCATATCATCTTTGATGCGGTGGCATTGAAGGACCCGTCATTATTCACCTGCAGTCCTGCCTACCTTGCACCAGGCGGAACTTTTGTTTCGACAGGCTCAATCCAAGGACTTCGACCCTTCAACCTGGTATTGAGGACGGCTTTTGCGATGTTCTGGCCTTCGTGGCTGGGCGGTGTTCCGCGTACATACAAGCAAGCCTGCCTCTTCCCATAACTAACAACTTTCGCTCATTGTCTTTCTTAGGAATGTTTCTCTGAGGCATGATGCTTCTGCACTAGAAGCGATACGGCAGCTTCTTGAAGAAGGAAAACTCAAGCCTGTCGTGGACTCTGTCTACGAATTTAAGGATGTGTTGTCGGCTTATGAGCGCATAATGACATCGAGAGCAAAGGGCAAGGTTGTCGTGAAGGTGGATTCCTGATGGTCCGGGTCCGAATAATCATGTTAAAGTTAGTCTTTCGGTTTCTTATGGCTGTACTTCGGATATATTTACCTGTTGAGTGAATATTACGGTTTCCTTGTAGTCATTCGAACAATATGTTGGCACATTGGTCTCTACTGCAACTCAGGAGATGCCATCGTTACCAGGAAGACGTGCTGGAAGGCAATACCGCATCGGCGAGGCGGAGTTGGCTCTGTTACATAACTCTCTCCTATTCTTTGCCTTACCCCTTTTACGCTACCTCATGCTGTCCTCTACCACCACCATTTTGCGATGATATGTACAGACTCAAATCCTTATGTTCCTTCGTCCAATGACCCGCCTACGACAGATGCAGCCCAACTCGACCTTCTCTTTCGTCTTCGAATAATAGCGCAACTGCAAGCGCTCGCCTATCCCCATATTTACCACTGCCATCTTGATGACCATATAATCGACATTCTCAACTGGTTGGCCTCCTGCTTCGCCCCGAATGCCTCAGGAGATGCCGTGTCAGTCGCCTTTTCCGCTCATTCCGGTCTTATCACCCTCTACATTGCCAGTAACCACAATACTCCAAACACTGATGCTGTCCGGAAGTGCGTAATCCGCTTCCTCTCCACGCTGCGCACAGTACTTCGTGATGGCGACGTTGGACCGAAGGTTGCATCCCAGATGTTTTTCCGCATGGTTGTGAATATCGCGCATGCCAGGATACAACGTAAAATACATCTTGTAGGGCAGACGGACGAGGGTCCTGGGCAGACAGCATATCACTTTACCAACCTTGTGTCGCTATGGCTCGTATACCGCCCGGAGGGAGAGCAGTCACGGGGGTTCTTGAATATGGCAACGAATTACGGCGGGAATTCGGCTTGTGCAAACAAGTATCTCATAGAGTCCTTCCTGACTTTAGTGAACCTACCACCGGAGCAAGCAGATGTGAACGAGCGATATACCTATCTCTCTTCTATAATCACCGCCTGCAGCTTACTGGTCAATTCCACGTTCTTTGACGACCTCGTAAATCACCACTCCTTTCGGCTATCTTTGAAGATTCAGGATCGTAAGTGTTACTTTATTAGTTCCTCCGCATACTCAAAAGCCTACAGGTATTTTCTTGCACAAAATCTTTCGTCGAATAACTCGCATCGCTGCTTATAAGATCGGTGCAATGCAGTTTGCCTACTTCGGACTTCCCTTTATTCGGCAAGTCCTCGGTGTTTCTCCGCAACGTGCCATAAACGTGAAGCTTTTAAGCGAACCTACTACCTCCCACTCTTTGTCGAAAACATACCATTGGCCATACTCCCCATCTGACCATATTCCCCGTATCCTCCCTGATAGTGGATCACCGCAATCGACCGACGAAAGCTTGAGTTCAGAAGAGAGCCACACCCTTCGCTCCGAACTGTCACAACTTGAAAGTCAGCTACGCAACGAACTTTTGAAATCTGAACTTCTAGTCAATGTATGGGAGCAAGGCGCGCCGGTCGACACCAAGTTTCACTCGGAACTACAGCTGATACATTACTTGGAAGAAAATCATGTGGATGTGGCTTGCCAAGCATTTGGGACGTCGAAGCCGGTTTGTTGGACTTGCGGATGCTATATCGACCACTTACAGTGCACTAGCACTAGCGTCTCTGAGAATGAGGAATCAGAGGAGGTAGGAGGAGGAGCAGCGGAACGGCGGTGGTGGTATTCGAAAGGATCTAGGAAAGTTTACTATGAGTGGATGATACCCCCTTCTGCCAAGCAGGATACCATAGATGGTTTATTAGAAGACTCGCAGCGGAAGATGGAAAGAATAGTAGAAGAGGTCGCATTTGATTGTCATTTCTAGACTTTTCGTTATATGTATATACCCCAGGATAGATGTAAAACAATACCAGTCACAACTTCGATACAGTAAACGGAAAGGGTGATGTGCTTGGGACTTCCACATGAAATCCCTTCGCTTTCCAGTACCTCTCCACCGCAAGCAGACTGTCTATGGTTTCAACAACAGTCTGCGCCCAAGGAATGTACGAGTCTGCCTTAAATCCGATGACTTGTTCTACCTTTTCCCTGTTCACGTTGAGCGTATACGAAGGCCACACCGGAGCCTTTGATGGATCAGCGAGCCGGTGTTTCAATGCTGGTCTTTCCTTCGCGATGGTTTCGAGGGCAGTCTTATATGACGACTGGTGTGGAGATACGATGGCGAACCTCTTTCGGGGGGCAGGGGGTGATTCAAGAGCGAGGAGATGGGCGCGTGCCACGTCACGGACGTCAATGGCCCCATTTTGGAGATGAACTGGAAAGTGGACGTTGTCAGGCCGAAGAAGTGCGTAAAAATAGGCGTTGGACGAAAAGGCTGTGTAGTTTGGTTCTGGCAGCAATTGCTCAAAGCCTGGCGCGAAAGGCCCAAACGTGAGGCCTGGCCCGACTGCATCATTTGTCAGGTCTTGAGATTAATAGACGAGGGTATTGGAAACGAACGGATTGAGATGTTGAGCTCTGGATGTGATTCGCTGAATTCCATAAAGACTTGGTCGGTAAGCTTTTTTGCGAGTAAATAAACCGATCCGTTGTTCGTGTGCTCTGCATCTTCACGTGTTATTGGGTACCAATCTACAAGTGGTTGACGACATTAGCAATCGCAGGGGCGGCGTTGCAGGTAACTATCTTACCGTTAGGTCCATAGGGACCCCCTGCAGGGAAAGTCACGGCGGACCCTGTGGTAACAATCCGCCCCACACCAGCTTTGACGGCCGCATTTAATATATGAAGAGAACCCTGGGTAGCATCCTGACTCATCGGAATTAGCCAAGTTCACGCTGTCGCTTTCCAAAAGCTTGCTTACCCTGATAGTCCTCTCCGATTCAGCACCGGGTAAAGGCGCGGCGACGTGTATAATCCCGTACACTCCTAGAGATGTGTATCACGTCAGTCCAGGTCTGTAAAATTAGGGATACAACCTCGAAGAACATCGCTGAGGTCGTCACTGAAAATATCCGGAATGTCAACGACATCGCAATTCTTGTAATTGGAGAATATGTTTCTCAAAAGATCGAACTTCTTGCCTCGAGCAGAGCTAGAGTTTTTTCATGAGTCTCTCGGTCTTTAAGCTGAAGTAGACATTGCCCACGCTCTAACAGAATACCCAGAAGCCAAAAGCTGGACTAGGACCTGGAAGCCAATGAAACCGGTGCCTCCAGTTACCTATGCACAACAGTATTAATAGCGGTATGCATCGATGGAAAGCAGAGGGCACTGACGAAGATGATCTTAGAGCTGTTGTCGCAAGACATGGATTACTGAGTTGATTGGTTGTCCGCCTGAAGGTTTTAAGTCCAAGGCAAGGCGCATAGGCTCCGTGCTATCACGGAAATTTTAATGGGCCCTGCTGTATGACCGTGGGCTTTCGTTATCCTTACCTATGCAGTAGCGTGATTTGTACCGTCTGGGATTTACTGCTATCAGATCACCGTGATCGGGAGGGGGGTTATAGCTTCGATGTTGGTGTCGTGTCGTAGTCCTGTCACAGCTCCTTTTATGTCGGGCAACGAGGTCGTACGAAATCTTTAGTGTCGGCACTATCTATAGTGGGTTTACAGTAAGCAGGCGATTTGTAAAGAGAAAATAGTACCATTGAGTCAGTGACACATTTGAATTCACATTCCGACGAAGATGGAGATGGGGCGACTTCCTCCGTTGGCCAAGGATAATCTAGTTTTGACCCTTCTCCTGTCCTCGTCCTACGGTGAATATTAATGCTGCCCTTGCCGTAGCACCTGCGCTTGATAAAATTGCATACACACGTAGTTGAAGGCATGGGAAGTGACAACCAGAGAACTGGCCCAGGGCACGTTCTGTTGTGGGTAATCAGATCGAGCCAGACCTATTCGCCATCAACGAGTGTGGGTCCCTGGACCTTGACTCGGATAACATGGTGATAACGGTGTTGCATCGCGCAAGTTCCTTATATAAGAAACACAGTCCCTGGCCACGAAGATTTTGATAATACCCATAACTCACCACAAATAACGCAGATGTCGTAGAATTGTCCAACTTCCAGAATACCCGGAATGGGGGATAGGAGTGCAAATATCTCACAGTAACAAGTTCAGTGGTCGTGATCAAAGCTCAAGACAAGCAGCAGCAGCAGCGGCAGGTGAAGGCAAGCACTTGCGGGCGCCGCAGAGTCGTGGGAAAATTCAAGCTTGTAGTTGGCCGGGCCGAAAGCCGATGTTTTTCCCTCCGTTATGGCAGGAGCCAAATCATCAAAGAAACAAGGCATAAAGCGCAAAAGCCAAAGTAAATCGTCATCCTCGAGGAAGAAAATAAAAATACAGCACAGAAATGCGGACGATCTGTCCTGGACCGCTGTCAAACGACCATTCGAGGCAGGCGTTGAAGGTGACGACGGTATCCTTGAGCTGGAAGAGGTGGAGGATGTAGAGGTCGTATATGAAGAGACTGAAAGAGGAAGGGTTGCCCGGTTCAACGTGCGTATCGGTTGTCTGTAAGGTATGCCGGAACTGAGGAAAACTACAGGTCCTAGAGCGGGAAACGAGTGCCCAAGCATCCGACGAAGAGGCCGAATCTCCTGAGCAAGAGACAGAAGATGAGGATCGTTCAGTGCTTGAGGATGTCATTCTTGACTGTATGCCGTTTCTTACATTTATGTGGTCCGTACTCAGCGTCGCACAGTCAAGTGGAATAGCCTCTCAATACATCCTCATCTTTTGCGCGCTCTCCACAGCAAAAAATTTCTGGAGCCAACACCGATACAGGCAGCAGCTATTCCTTTTGCTATTCAAGGTCGTGATGTTGTTGGCGTAGCCCAGACAGTGAGCTTTCTCTGCGTCTCTTCTCCTGTCTATTAACGCGGTCTAGGGCTCCGGAAAAACACTGGCGTATGGACTCCCAGTTCTTCATTATCTTCTCTCCAACCCTGCCTCAACCGCGCTTGCACATCGTCCTGTGCGCGCCCTCATCCTTGCACCTACTCGAGAACTTGCTCTACAAGTCTCCTCACATCTCAACGAGTGCCTAAATACCACCCACCAGGAGAAGAAGCATGGCCATATAGCCAAGAAGCCGCCAATGGTCAGCGTTGCTGCAATTGTAGGTGGAATGTCTTCTCAAAAGCAGCGCAGGGTTCTGGACAGAGGCGTCGACGTGCTAGTAGCGACCCCCGGTCGATTATGGGATATAATGGAAGATGTATGCATCTTTTTGTAAATGCAGGTCGCTATCTAATGACCACCAGGACGACCAACTTTCTAGGGACATCAAAGAACTGAAGTTCCTTGTTTTAGATGAAGCCGATAGGATGATAGAAAACGGTCACTTTGCCGAGTTGGAGAATATCCTTCGACTGACACTACGGCAGGAAAAGTGAGTTTCAATGTTCTGGATTGGAACAGACACTCAATACGCAACAGTGATGAGCAGATTCCCGGTGACGGCCAAATGTCGGAATCAGAGAACGAAGATGTCGAAGAGAGCAACGTGATGCAGACATTCGTATTCTCGGCCACTCTAAGTAAGGATTTGCAGCGGAATGTCAAGAAGCGCACGCGACCCCGAACGGGAAAGAGGAAACACAGTAATGTACCTGTCTCAACTCTAGGTGGGTGTTGCACAGTGCGTTTGGTCTGTAAAGCACTGAGACGATGTCAGACGAACTTCTTCTTCGTCTGGATTTTCGAGATCCCGAGCCTGAGGTGATTGATCTCAGTCCGAAAGGCGGCGTAGTTTCGACACTCAAGGAGAGCAAAATTGAATGTCTGTCTGCCGACAAGGTCAGTGATGGCATCATTCGCAAGGCATTATTGTGAACATGTTGTAGGATGTGTATCTCTACTACTTCCTCCTCAGGTACCCTGGTCGATCTCTCGTCTTTCTTTCATCGATAGACGGGATTCGGAGGCTTCTTCCACTAACAGAGTTCTTGAACGTCAAAGCGTACCCGCTCCACTCGCAGCTAGAGCAGCGACAACGCTTAAAGAACCTTGATCGGTAGGTGGCATCATATCGCCTCTACACGCTAGGTTCATAGGGAATTAAAGGTTCAAGTCCACACCTAATTCGTGTTTATTGGCTACCGACATCGCTGCTAGAGGATTGGATATCCCTTCAGTCGATCATGTTATACACTATCAGATTCCGCGTTCCGCAGATGTATATATCCATCGCAACGGACGAACTGCTCGTGCTATGATGTCTGGATTTAGCATGCTTTTGTGCGCTCCCGACGAACGAAGAGTTGTAAAAGCTTTGCTTGGTAGCATCGGCCGGGGTGCATTATGTTCTACATTTTCATAAATTAGTACTCAACAGATTTTAGAGGAAAACGAAGTGCCAGAAATGTCTGTGGAGTTAGGGCTCCTCGATAAACTCAAGCCGCGTGTACAGTTGGCGAGGCAGATTGAGTCTGCTCACCACAAGGCAAAGAAAGCCAACCATGAACGGAACTGGATGAAGGAGACTGCCGAGGCTATGGAGATCGAGCTTGGTTCCGACTTTGACAGGTAGGCCTAAACTCTTTGCTTGACTGGTGGCCGCGCTGACGCGTCTCGGTCCAGCGAGTCCGAAAGCGAAAATGTAACAAAGCAGAAGCAGAAAGCAAAAAATGCAAAGATTGCCGCGATGAAAGCTGAGCTAAAAGCGATGCTGACTCAACCGCTTATTGCAAAGGGTATCTCAACTCGGTATATCACGTCGGGGAGCAGGCCCATCGTCGATGATTTGATTTCAGGCCAATGTAAGTGCTTATCTTCGTTAAATGTCCATGTTATGATACTGACTATCTTAGATCACGAGGCAATGTTAGGTGTGCGGAAATCGGAAGCCAGGTCTGATTTAACTCTTGCGAAGCAGAAGAAAAAGAAAAAGTCTGCTGCTAGTGTGGAAGACGGAGATAACGGAAAAGAGTGGCATGGCATAGGGACATAAGTTTTATCAGTCGATAAACTCCTTCACAAATGCATTCTCCTGGGATATTGACTAATCGCGTTCGCCCCGTCTGCTCCACCTGTCGATGAAACGCCCATTTTCGTTGCCAGTAAGCGATGCTACTTACATCTCCACCGGACTCGAGTTTGAAAATGCTTAGGCCTAGTCCCATAAATACTGTGGCAACAGAAAGTATCATACAATTACGGTGGGCCGTGCCGTGTAATTCTACCTACCTACGGGGGTATTCATGAATCATAAGACATAACTGCGATAGTCTAGGTAATATAATGGTTTCTCACCTTTCATTACACGGACACCGAGGAGAGGACAACAACGTTAAAACTTAACCGTCTAGGCATAGGAGCAAAACCTTACGGCATAATTTTTGCTCTCCCAAGTCAATACAAAACTCTTGCCACCAGCACTAGCGCATCAACTTCATCCCTGCAGCCACTAGATTAATTTTTCTGATGGTGACGTCGATACGTTTGACATGAGAACTGCACCGCAACTGCACCTCAGCAACACCGCGGTCCGGGTCTTGAAAGAAACCAAGTGTCGTCATCGGCAACTTCGAGGCAGCGACCCCAGGGCTAGAGGATGCTGGAAGTAACAGCCCTTCATCAAGGGAAATTCTATACGGGATATCTTGAACCAAGTACCGAAATCAAATCAGCTCGTCGCCTGTAAACATTTTGAAAAAAAAGACGGACCTGATAGCCCTTTCCCCAAGCGTGATCGTCGACAGCGAGCTTGCTGAAGTCCCATGAATTCAAGAAAAGCGAAAGAAAGAGTAGCGAATAGCATTGCTTTCGGATACGGACAAGTGTAATCATACAAAACATCGAGATGTACCCAGAACTGATTAACCAAAGCAAGTGCACGATAAAAGCACAAGTGGATTGCCCAGTTCCGGGCTATAGGTACACTCTCCTCGTCCGGCACCCACAAGCCATAACATCAACGAAGGAAATTACAGCAGTATGAAGGCGCAACGAGTAAGACTGTAAAGAAAAAAATTTGGCGCTCATCTCCTTTTGTTTACCGTCGGGTACTGCCGGATCGGAGTTTGAACTGTGTATATAAACCTGGCAGCCCGAAAAAAACCTCATCGAAAGTTTTTACCTCGCACGTTGATATTTGAGGTTCATTCTCTTTCTTTCCAAGGGTGGATCTTGAACTGAGTGAAGGGAGAAGAATACCTTTCACCTAGATCGCTTAGACTCTCTTGTGTCGTTTGCGGCCCGTATGGAAGGGATATTATTATGGCTTTTCTCAATGTTATCCATGTTACGTATGAATCTATCTTGCTTCACTGTTCCACAACTGTTGTGCAAGTTCTTGCTCGATACAGTGAAGGCGGTCGAATGTAATGATGTGAATCGATGATGACCTGTAACGGTGAGCGACAGTGAGTTGCTGCACTCTGGACGGGATCGGGCCGGAGTGTACAATTTCCTCTTACCACCATGACGTTTTCCTTCAATCAAGGATCCGGAAGGACCTTTACATCGCTTTGGATGCGTATCAGTAGTCCACCTCGATTAAAGTATGACAGCTGTAAAGGCCATTGGGCCCTGTTCTTGACATGTCTTCAAACGTCTTCAAAGACAGGAATCAAGGAACGCCACTGCCCTCTCTTATCTCCGCCACCTTACCATGTATGTGGAGAGATATCTTGGCGACATTTCCTGGCCCTTAGCTTCGTCTCGGCAGCCAGTATACTCCTGTTAAAAAGCTCAAAATATCGTCATGAACATGTCGCAGCCTCTCTGCCATTTCGGTCACGGCTCTGCTTGTCTATGTCGGATTGTTCAGGCGTGTCCAGGCGCGACGCGTACTGAGGAAGCGCTCTTTGGATGCTGACCATTGGGCTGCGACCAACTCGGTTTATTTCATAAGCCTATTGTGCGCAGAGTTTATCCAGGTGCATGATGCGTCGCTGATTTATCCATGCTTTCACCTTCTGATTATGCCGTAGGTGTGCTCCTGAACATACAATGGATCATAGATGCCGTGAGGATGATGACTAGATCTCTTCCTGCTTTTACAGACTGTTCTAGTCCAGGAGGTTACCGAGGGCACTCTGTGCACGCACAAGGCATCTTGAAACAGACGGGTGCCAGTGACGTTACAGTTGCTCTCACATAGGTCTCTCAAGTTCTTACCATGAATGCACACTGACATGCTGTGTATAGGTCCCTTGTATGTGTTTATATTTTCATCTGATATGTGGTCTGACACGGCGAGGAGGCCCTCGCAATCCATACGTTTAATGTCCTCGTCATGCGATGGCGGGCACTCTGGTTGTCCATTGTTATCATCTCCCCCATTTGGATCTTCCCCGCCCTGAACGTTGGCCTGAGCACTGCTATACATCCGGGGAACTACTATGGGAATACAGGATACTGTGGGCTCTATTTCTTGGTCCTTCTCATTGACCCATTACGTGTAGGGTGTTGGATTCGAGATGAATATGGCGCTAAGTGAATAGCGCTCGAATATCTCTGGCTGTGGCTTGCTCCTGTCGGCATGGTTATAATATATGGTCTTATTGCTCTGGTCATGTGAGGATTCATCGTGGTTGATGAAGGTACTCATTTCATGACACAACGAAATCGTGTACGGCAAGACCTGACTGCTGTGGATGATGAAGACGAGTGGCAACCGAAAGGGGTAACAAACGTCATGCTGTTGTTGGTCCATCTAATCTATTGATTTTCGTGCCCGGTCTGATCTCCCAGTTATCTTGCGGTGTTCCTATGACTATCGTCAGGTGGTTCACTTTTAGCGATAGAACTCAGCTGCCTAAGCTCGCCGGTTCGATGAGCACGATAACAATAATATTTGATACAAATACAATATAGGGTGAGATAGTCGCTATTGCACACTTTTCGCAAGTGAGATTCCAGAGGGCCGACCCCCTAATCTTGGTTCAAGGACCCTCAGATGGGACCTCTGGAACTCGCCCCCCCCATACGAGACTGCAAAGTAACCTTGTTAGATTCGCCTCAGAGAATGACACTGCAAACGACGGGACTGACACCCAACGAGTGGCATTCCACCTCGGTAGGGGCTGACACCCTCAGACCAAATGCCTGGCAGGGGCTGGTTACCCTCGGGAATGACACCCGGCAATAGAATAGCAGCCCAAACTGAGACTTACTTCAATTACGTGTGCAAGACGAAGCTCCATGACCTCTATCACCACACAGGGAGCATATATGTATCCCATGATCAGGACTTGTTGGAATACGGCAACCGTTAGCGAGATTGAAATGGACACACAGTACGATTATCAGCATTGCGGACAAGGCCGCCATTGCCCCATTTGCATTGCATCATCCTTCCAAACCGGCTAGGGATAGATTCTTCACAACTCTCAGCACGGTGGCCAATGCGTCTGCAGCATAGGCATAAGTCATTTGAATGATCATTGATAGGGCGAAGGTATGGATGAAATTCAGGGACCAGTTTTCTTGGTAGCCGCACGTGAGGTAGCTATCTGTTTTGAGGTGTCTCTGTTTTTGGCTTGCTGAAGCTGGGAGTCCCACTCATGTGCTATGGGATCAATGGGATGTACGTTACAAAATTTGATGTTGGAAATTTACAAATTTATTCGTTCTTCAGCTCGGTCGACCATAGAAATGATCCTGAGGCTATGATGAAAGAGCCATTTAAGCTCAGCCACTGGCTACGTCCATCTCGAAGGCACCACATCGCGAATCAGTTTCTTCAGGACACGGAACATACGTATTCTCTTATTACGGTATGCACCGATTCCCTTACCTTTATTGAACCAATAAGAAAGATGCCATTTCATTTAGATATCCTCTGCAGATGCCCAAAGGCGCGGTTTATTACCACGTAAGATTTTTCCTTTCAAAGATCAGCATTATAAACCTTTTGTAGCTTCTCCTGGGGACGATGCCGGGAATCTAGAGTATGTTTAATGCATATCGCCATTGTCTCTCTTTCTAACTGTTTTTAGGCTGAAGAGGCCGAGGTGTCACATTGAGTAGGCCATCTGCCGAGTGTCAACAATATCCATCACTTACATCTGACTCCACACCCAGCATCAAGGAAATTGTAATGTGTCTATTATATTCAGGCACTCTCGGTTTCTGACCACGTATCTCCAGGAGCACAGCGAGCGCCAATGTGGCATATTATTGAAGTCGGGAGATGTAAACCCAATGTACGTTGGTACTGATGTTCCTGTGTTGTATCTTGAGTGTATATCTGTGGTGCAATGAAGTGATCCATGCCGCTGCTTCAGTGACAGATTGGAATGACCTACAACTGCACTCTGCAGCCAACGTCTTGATTGCACAGATCCGTTCACTTCTCCGTTCCAGCCAATCACCATGGGAGAAAATGAATCTTGTGCCCCCTTCAGTAGCGAAACGGGTCATTGATACGCTTCAATGAGTATGTGCCAATCATCGGATATCTTCGATGTGACCTGAATAAAGTACGAAGGAGGTGGATTACGCATCAGAAATCGACAACTACCGCAGACGCTGTATCAGTTGTCTTCAAGCATTGAGCAGGATTCATGTAATCATCCCGACAACTTGCTACCTTGCCAGTGAAGCAATTACGAAAGATGGCGATGATCCAATTTGTGGCAGCGCATCTTGCGTGAGTATATGAAGAACCTTTGTCATCAGAATAGTGAAATTATTGCCGAATAGGATACTTGGAGAGGTAACCTCGAGCTAGAGCGCCTACCTGTATGTTTGAAAGTACTCAGGTATTTTCCCACGAATGTTGGTCGCGGCTCATCGTTCAAGGTAAATATCGATAAATGTCGTGTTAAACCGACTTTGATCTGGTGTCTATCGCAGGACCATCTTAAAGAAGTTATGGTGTGGAGACAGGTGCGTCATCCGCGTATTTTGCCGCTCTTAGATGTCAACGAGGACCTTTTCGCACCCCGATTTTGTTTGATATCCTCCTGGATGTATCAGAGTAACATCATCGAGTATCTGCAACGAAATCCTGACGATGTTGAACCTACGCGACTGGACTTCGTAGATTTCCGCCTGGGGTCTGCAAGCCGTAATGATTAACTATTTTCAGATCATCGAGAATTGCAGATGCGATACAATGGCTTTCAGCCACCGGTGGTTCATGCAGACATTAAAGGGGTATGGATTTTCTTTCTCGTGGCCTCTGTAAGAACTCATCCTTCCAGGCTAATGTTTTGATCAGCAACTTCAGACACCGCTATCTTGCCGATTTTGGACTTTCTTTCACTGTTGGGAGCCACAATCCTCGAAGTTCCTCCTTGCTTCGGCAAAGAACAATGTATTGGCTGCCCCCCGAGTACCTGTCCACTTCCTCAACCGCTCCTTCCTGCTCGGGATGTATATGCTTTTGGCTGTACAACAGTTGAGGTAAGCATCCAAGATCTATTTATTACCTCGCACATCTAACCTTTATGTGAGATCTACACCGGAAAACCCCAATATTCTTACCTCAAAAAGCAGTCTAACATCATATTTGAACTCGTAGTAAACCGGAAGATGCCTCCCCGTCCTGCACGCGACGTCTTTCCATCTGATGAACTGTGGAAATTAGTGCTCGAGTGTCTTTCGTATGAATCGTCGAGGCGTCCAAATCTAAGAAAGTGACGCGCGTTTGTAGCACCTAATAGAGTATGCTGTTAGCTATAACGTAGACTACAGAATACCAATCAGTGACATAAACGAAGTAATATAAGTAGATACTCACCCTCACACAGCGTAGCGATAAGCAGAAACGCGGTGAGGGTGCTCGACAGACCGTATTCAATATATATAGTCCATCCCGACATAAAGGGGTATCAAGCTTGGTCGGCGGGATATGATGGAGCTCCTGCTTGCTAATCCAACACTCCCCCTCAAGCAGAGTGAAGTCCAAGCTCAGTAGCAAAGTGCTTCACCTTGGCTGAAGGTAAAGGCTTGGTGAGAGCATCGGCAACCATGTCCTCAGTGGGACAGTAAACAAGATGAAGGGAGCCTTCACTGATGACCCAGCAAATGAAGTGGAAGCGAATGTTGATATGCTTGGTTTGGGCATGATACTGATGATCTTTTGAGAGTGCAATAGCAGACTGATTGTCTGAGAATAAAGTTGTAGCCTCAGTAATCGGTGAGAAAACCTGAGAGAGCAGACTGTGAAGCCAGAGCACCTCCTTTGATGCATGAGTTGCAGCCATGTATTCAGACTCAGTGGTTGAAAGCGAGATGATCTCCTGCTTTTTAGATGACCACGAAACAGCTCCACCATTCAGCATGAAAGCATACCCAGTAATGGCATGCCTATCCTCTGCCATGCTCCCATCAGCATCCACATAACCATGCAAAACCTTTCTGTTTCCCCCAAACATCAGCCAGTAATCCCTCATGCCCTTCAGGTAGCGAAAGATGTGCTTTACAGCCTTCCAATGAGCCTCTGTAGCAGCTGTTGAATATTTCGAGACTGTTGTCATGACAAATGCGATATCAGGGCATGTCCTGAGCATAACCCAGATCAAGGAGCCAACAGACTCCCTGTAAGGGACATCTCTCATGGCTGCAATTTCTTGGGTGGAGGCTGGTGCAGGAAAGAAAGACAAATAGAGATTAATATCCATTGGTGTAGAGACTGGTTTGAGGTCTTCAAAGCTATAGTGATGAACAATGGCATCGATGTACAAGCATTGGGAAAGAGAAACAGAGCATGACTCATGGTCACATGTGATCTCGATGCCAAGAATCCAGTGCAGCTCCCCCAAATCCATGACTTCCATGTATTTTGCCATACCTTTCTTTATCTCTCACACTAGATGCAATAATGATGCTGTGATGGTGCAGTCATCAACATGGACAGCAATAATAGTCAAGTTTCAGTCCTCCTGCTTGTAAAACACAGCTTGATCAATGTTGCACTGCTTGAATCCCAGCTGCACCACCAAAATCTCAATGAGACATTGATACCAGCAATGACCACTCTGCTTCAAACCATATAGAATCTTTATGAGATGGCAGACTTGACCAGGATGGGAGCCAGACTCAGGATAGCCAGGAGGTTGATGCATATAAATGATTTCTTCATTGGTGAGCTTTCTATTCAAGTATGCACCTTTGATATCGACTTGATGGAGCTCTAGATTGAGTGCTACAGCCATAGTAAGGATTGAATGGATAGATGCAAGCCTTGCAACAGAGGCATAAGTGTCAAAGTAGTCAACACCAGGTACTTATGAGAACCCTTGTGCTACCAAGCGAGTCTTGAACTTGACTATGTCTCTCTCAGTATTCTTCTTGATTCGAAAGACCTACTTTGAGCCCACAACATTTGCTCCAACTGGTTTTTCAACAATTTTTCAAGTCCCTGCAGTCTTCAACATCGCAAGCTCTTCCTGTGTTGCACCTTCCCACAAAGGCCAATCAGGCTGATTGTTAAGCCCAAACTCCACATGACTATTAACATGTGATAATCAGTTTGATACCTTGTACTTCAGGTATGTCCGACTGAGTTCACTTAATGTGTTAACAGAGGTGTGTGATCAAGGCATTGCAAGTTGCTCGAGATAGGATGGTAGAGAATAAACTTTAGCTTGAAGCTGGGGTATTTACAGCAAGAGCTATGCTACTTATATACTGTTCTGTTATTGTGCTATAAATAAATGTTTCACAAAAGATATTGTCTGCTGTAGAGCTGTTACCCCTGCTATTGCCAGGCTCTCCACAAAAGCTGTTGTCCTGCTGTTGTGCTTGTTATTGTTGCAGTGCATGGTGGGACAAAAAGAGCATTGTCTCTCCCTTCACAGCACACAGCAGCGCGCTAGGAGAATGACTGACTGGGTTGCTGACCAAGCTTTCCCATGGTCCTAAGCACCAGCCTAGATGCTCTGACTAAGCAGTGATAGGGGTTGTTTCCAAGGAAAAAGAAAAAGAAAATAGGAAAATCATAACATTACCCCCTCCTTAAGACCATCGTCCTGATGGTCAAGTTAGCGCAGTCCTCCTCCCTTAGTAGGAGGTGGCCGATCTGCTGGACCACTTGCTATCTGGTTGTCAGACTTTGTCCAACCGCCATCTTCATTGTCCTCTTCTTCCTGGTCTTTGGTATCGCCTAGTTGGGTCAAGTTTTAGACAGAGTCATCTTCATCGTCCTCTGCCACATGTCCTCTGCTGTCAGCAGGTTGATTGATGTATATCTGGCTAGATATCATCTTTCTTTCTTTTGTCGCTATATCATGTTGAGCAGATATAATGTTGAACATGACCACCTTGATGTCTACTTTGTTGATCCTGTGTTCGTAGTCGTGAATGGTATTGTCTGCATTCATATATTTTTTGTTGACCCATTGGTTTGATTCTGGTCTATAGCCCTTCCAGCTGACTAGATAGTCAACAGTTGTTTTCATGCCTCCCCCTCATGCTTTCACTTTTTGGATTTTGTGGTTTAGTACCTCATCGACTTCATAGTGTTCTTCGTTGTCGATGAGTTCTAGTGGAGGTGGAGGTGGTCATTCTTGGTTTGGGAAGGCTGGTGCCACGTATGGTGTCAATAATGTTTCATTAAAAACATCATGAATTCTCTAGGTGGCTGGAAGTTTTAGTTTATATGTGGATTTGCCGATTTTTGCAATAACTTTGAAGGGGCCTGTCTGTTTGTCTGCCAATTTTTGTTTTGGCCTTGGTAGATGAAGATTCGTAGTATCCAACCAAACTTTGTCATTGGTTGAATATTCATGTGCTGCCTGTCGGTGCTTGTCATACTGCTTTTTCATGGTTGAAGCAGCCTTTTCAAGGGCAGTCTTTGTTTCTTCATGGATCTTTGTCATTGTTATTGCAAAGTTCGTTGAAGCAGATGTCATTGTGTGGAACCGTCCCATTTGCGCAACTGGTGGGTTCCATTCGTAATTCACAAAGAACGGTGTTTTACCTGTTGCAGTGTGAATTCTGTTGTTATGTTAGAATGCTGCTAATGCTAGCCATTCCATCCAGTCATCTTGCTGGTAACTGATGAAAAGTCATAAATACTTTTCAATTTCCTGGTTGGCCCGTTCCGTTTGACTGTCCATCTGTGGGTGATATGCCATTGAGGTATTCCTTTTGATATTGAGGAGGCGGTATAAATCGTCTAGGAACTTAGAGATGAATTGTGGTCCTCTGTCAGAAATTACTACTTGAGGCATGCCATACTTTGCATAAACCTCATCTCATAGTATTTTTGCCCATCTCTCAGATATGAGTTCTGTAGAACAGGCAATCAGGATGATCACTTTTGAGAAGCGATTGACTATGACAATGATGGCATCATAGCCATCACTTTCAGAAAGGCCCGTTATTATATCTACCAAAATGTGGGTCCATGGTGTCAAAGGGACCTCATTTGGATGGAGTGAGGCAGCTCTGGATTGTGTTGAAGTCTTGCCTCACTAGCAAACCTCACAAGCCTTGACATATCGGGTGATATCATAATCCATTTTGGGCTACCAATATTCTCGTAAAACCAGTTCCTTGGTTTTCATGATGCCAGGATGTCCGGCAGTTGCATGATTATGACATGTGGCAATGATATCACCATGAAGTTTTTGATCCCTGGGGATATAGATATGTTCATCATAATAGATCAATCCCCCTTCCTTTTTCAGTCCTCGCTCATGATTGAGTGAAGAAGTGATTCTTTGATCTCATTTATGTGGATCCCGAGTGGCGCTCTTGATGCGTTTATGCATCTCCTCTTCCATTGGCATGATCATTGCTCAGAAGTGTTCTGGCCATAGTAAAATGACCTCTTTGTTATCATCTCCTCCTTGGTTATGATCTGCCCTGTGGCTGAGAAAATCGGCCTTCTTGTTTGCTATGCCAGCTTTATGGTGTAGCATGTATTCGTACTCAGATAATTCCATAACCCACCAGGCTTGCTGGCAGTTAAGCTTTTGAGATTGACGGAAGTATCTGAGGTTCTGGTGATCTGTCCAAATCTCAAAGGTATGGTGTGCCCCAATGAGATAATGTCGCCATTCCACAAGGGTGAGCATTATGGCTAAGAGTTCTTTGTCATAGATCTCATAGTTGCATTCAGTTACTGTGAGCGCTTTTGACATAAATGCGACTGGTCGCCATTTATTGTCCTGTTCCTGTGAAAGTACGGCTCCAACTGCACCCTTGCTAGAGTCGGCTTCCACTTGGAATTTTCCGTCCTGGCTTGGTATAGCCAGAATGATGTCTTTGGCTAATCAGCATTTAAGATCATCGAATGCTGCCCATTGGGAAATTCTCCAGCTCCATGGGGAATTTCCGGTTAATTGTGTCATCAGTCAGACTATTTTGCTGTAATCATGGATGAACCATCGGTAGAAGTTGGTAAATCTGAGAAATGATTGTAACTCTTTTTTCTTTGTCGGTTCCAGCCATTCTGTCACTCCTGCCACTTTAATGGGATCCATCCTGATACTTCCTTCGCTGATAATGACTCCGAGGTATTCAGTTTCTAATATCTCGAATTCGCATTTTTCGGCTTTGAGAAAGAGTCAGTGCTTCCTCATCAAGGATAGTACCTGGCATACCAGCCTTCTGTGTTCTTTCTTGGTTTTGGACATGATGAGTATGTCATTCAGATAGATTGTGACGTTTTCTGTGGCAATGAGGTCTTTGAAGATGTCATTCATCATCCACTGGAAGGTGGCCAGTGAATTCGTTAGTCCGAAGAACATAACCGTCGGTTCAAACAAACCATGGTTAGTTCAAAAAGCAGCCTTCTATTCGTCACCTTCCTTGATACGCATATTGTTGTACCCCCACCGAACATCCAATTTTGTGTAGTATTTCGCACCCCGGAGTTTGTCCATTAACTCCGAGATTAAAGGAAGTGGATACCAGTTCTTGATGGTCATTTCATTGAGCTTTCGGTAATCTTGTACCGGTCAGAGTTTGCCATCCTTCTTTTTGATGAAAAAGAAGAGTGACACCATTAGTGACTTTGATGATCGGATTCTTCCGCTAGATAAGTTCTCTTCGAGAAACTTGTCTAGTTCTTGTTGTTCGTTATTGCCTAGTGGATAGCACTTGCAATCTAGGTTGGCATTGGCATTAGGAATTAGTTCGATGGCATGGTCCCAGGGTTTTGCATCGAGTAATTCATCGAAACTTTCCTTCTCAAATAAGTCGCAATAGTTGCATGCCCATTCGGGTACCATCTCTTTGAATGTCCTTTTTTGTTTATCAGTATTGGCCCTTGCTGCTAGGTCATTAGCATGGTGTATTGCCCAAATGTTAATGGCCCTTTGTAAGTTGATAGTGAGAATGGTCTCGCTATCCTCCATTTCTTCATTCTATCAGTCCTTAGGATCTCCATCTGGTAGTTCAAATGGAATTTTCTGGCAATAGTATCAGGTGAAGATGATGCATCCGGTTTTCCAATTGATCAGCGGATTGTGTTGGATTAGTCAGTCATGACCAAGAAACACTTCTTTCATTCCTAGGCCGGTAACAGCTAGATCAATCCATTCTGAGTGATCACCGATGGTGAGCCTAAGCTCTATGTATTCAGTGATCAGTCCAGCTTGGTTCCATGTTCCGTCTGCATTATAGATGGGAATAGGGGCCGCTGTTGTCCGAGTGGGCAATTGATGCTTGTTGATGAAATCTCGATTGATGCTACTCCCCATGCAGCCACTGTCGATCAATGCAGTGACTGCATGGGTTGATCGAGACGTCAACATCTTGATCTGCACCTTGGCTAGTAAGTCTTTTCTGGTAGTTTTGGCTCTTCAGATGAACTTTTGGGGTTCTCACAATTCATCGAGCCACTCCAAAGCTCAGCACCGTTCTGCAACTCATATGCTGGCGATCATATCGTTGATTATTTCCTCAACTCAGGACTTGTGTACCCAGTTCTTCAGTATGGCCTTTGCCACTGTTTCATTTTTGCCATCTTTGATAGCTTGCCAAGTCCATTCAGTATCGAATGGCTTTAGCCAATCTGTGGGGTTCTCTACCCCTGTTCGGTCCGAAGGTAGTTCAGCCTGTTTTATATTTTTAGTTTGAGAAATTCTCAGCGAAGACGCATCTTTGGGGCTCTCTGCCCCTCTTCAGCCCTTCGTCGGTGTTTGAGTTATTGTGGTCAGTTTCTTAGATGATTCTGTAGGCGATTCTGGATGGTGGATAATAGGGTCAGGTATATTCCAATGCATGTATAATTTAGTCATAGAAGGTAATACTATAGAAGATAAAGTGTCAGTCTGTCCAGCAGCTTGTGACCTGTTATCCAGTCCATGGGCTGAGTCAGCGGAATCGCTCACTGCTCGGCCTCACCTTTTACCTCCTCGGGTTTGTTGTCTCCTCCGAGGTTGTTATCTTCCTTCATCAGCTCAGCAATCTGTGCCCTAATATCCTCCTGCGTGCATTTATTCTTCTTCTCAGGGCAGTTCTGTGCCATGTGGCCTGGTTGGCCACAATTGAAACACTTACCCTCCTTCTTGAGGCGATCCACATCAATCTGCTTGCCTGTTCTGGTACTTAGGCCCTTACCAGTTCACTTCCCATCATTCTGAGAAGTTGGGGCTGAGCTGCTGGGCCTGGCAGACATGGTCACATGGGTGGAGGGCTTCGAGCCCTGTCTCTAGTACCTGTGCTGTTCCCACAGATTTGTCACCTCCATCTTCTGCCGCTGTCGTTCTTGCCACATTAGGGTGATTCAGGCCTTCCAATCATCATAGCCGACTGGCACGCTATGGCTGAGATCGGAGATGGTCTTCAAGTAATGAGGAGGTACTTCTCGTTTCATATATTCGACCATGCATCCTGAGTCAGCCACATCCTCTCAGATCCTAGCGAGCTTTCTGAGTTATTTCAGTTTGATGAAGTAGTTGGGCGCCGCTTTGTCGCCCATCTTGTATTCCTTCATCTTCGACTTGTGGACTTCTCGGACTGCAGGGTCCGTGAACTTGTCACAGATCATCTGCTTCAGCACTGCCCAGGTGGGGTACTGATTGTGTTGCCGAGTGGTCAACCAGAAGTTAGGGGCCAGTAACACCCACCATACTTTCGCCTTGTCTTCAAAGTAGGTGGTGGCATAGTTTACCTTGTACATGTTGTAAAGAAAGTATGAGGCAAAGACCTGGAAATATTGATCGCAGTCCATAAGGAAGCGGTCGATATTATCTGAAGCCCCTTTAAAAAGAAAGGGCTCCTGCCCAAGTGTCAGCTTGACATTTAGGATATACGCCTTTGGATCAAGAGGCGACATTGGATTTGGGAGTTCCCCTCTAGGGAGACCCACCCAATCTGTCGGAGGCCCTAGAAAGGAATGCAGGGACCCATCATCAGCTACAGGGCTTCTTGGGGTCGGTGGCCCTTCCTTCCAAACAATCTGCCCATCCTTGATGGTCCACCCCTGTGTCATTACTTTGGGGTCATCCTTCTTCTCGTTGGTTGGGACCGATCCAGTTGCCTCGTCAGGTGATGGTTGTCCTCCCAATAATTGGCTTTCTGTGCCAGTCCAGGGATTCAGGTGATAGATTCTCAGCTGTGTGTAGGACCAAGTCAGCCAAGATGCCATGCTGCAAACAGCCAATATAGCAAGTGAGTACCTTAACATCGCTGTTCGGATTGAAAATGCCATGTTTGCTGTCTTGGGTGGCATTATACTTGGCGTCCATGGTATTGGTGCCTTCCATTTGCTGAATCTTGGTCGATATGGTGGCATCACCATCATCTGATAGTGTAAATATTGCTGATTGAAATTAAAAATGGCGTGCTTAGTCGCAGCATATTGTAAAATCTCTTCCCATTCAATGGGATCAGCAGTGGTGTACCTTCGTCCTAGGGATGATCGTAGCCAAAGATCGTCCCTCTATAATTCAGCTACCTGCTCCTGGTACAACTGAATAAACTCCTCCTCCCACATCTCTCGTTCTCATCGTTTCTTCTCCTGTTCTTGACACGTGATCATACTGATGATGCTCCTCCATTCAAGGATAGGGTCCACTGCTTGGTCCCCTTGGCCCTCCTCCTCGGCCTCATCGTCCCCTTTGGCCCTCTTGTTGGTGGTCCCCTCGAGGAGGGAACTGCTTTGCTGGCCAAAGGTTTCCGGGGTGGGTAGGTTGGGGCTGAGTACTTGACTCAGTGTCATCGGATCCGGGTCGAGGAGTAGGCTCTCAGTTGGGCTGCTCCTCTTCTCCTTCTGCTGGTGGCACCACTGCTCTGTGATACCAGCAGAAGTTTCTATAGAACTGGGGACGAAGAAAGAGAGCAGCAATTGGCCTGTCAAAGACCCTTTTGAGATCTCTGGTGGAGTCAATATGTTTGTTATCACCCCCGATCATTCCGAAATCTGACGGTATCCTATCTCTCCAGACAGGGATATCATCAGTTTTGGTGATGGTGTCTGTTCTATATGATAGCGGGTGGTCTTCGTCGAGGAGTGGTGACTGCCAGTGATAGTAGTCATCGGCATTGACAATCCTGGCAATTGGTCTTGTCCAGGAGTCAGGGCTGCTGGCAGAAGTGGCAGGTTTCTGGAATGGAGAGTTGGGAGTATTGATGAACTCGGCAAGAGACTGGAGGATTGGTTGTATTGGGTTTGGTACCACTGGACTATGCCTTGGTAGGCGTGGGGCTCCTCCTTGCTCTTGCTCCAGTCTACTGGCTGCTCTTGACACTGCTTGCCAATAGTGGATCTCATTTCTATTGGTATCATCAAAGAAGGGGTCGGAACTACTGACTCTTGTTCCCCTTCCACTGCTTCTTGTGGTGCTTCTGGTGCCTGGAGCCATCTGAATGGCATCCAGAGAGTCTCTGGCCTAGTGCCCAATTTCAGACTGGGCGACAGTTGTTCTTGATGCAGTGATGCTGTGCTCAGGGGAGGAGATGGGGGTGTCGGGTTGGGTTCGTCGAAACCCTGTAGCCCAAGGGTTTCCAGGGTCTCAGACGATTGCCGACGAGAGCCTTGGGGGATACTTGTGTTGCCACTGCTGCTCCTCCTCTTCCCTAGAACGCCTTTCAATCGAGCACCCAGGCTCATCTTCTGTTTCTTCGGGGTGTCAGATGGAGTTTCAGACAGAGGGAGGGATGTCATGGAGGGGGAGGTCTGGTGTGACATTTCGGAGGATTGTGCGGATGCACTGGAACTCTTGGTAGTGTCGGATGGCTCAGACGATAATCGATTGGCATCCACGGCACAGCTGTATGATCACCAATAAACTGATCAAGGTTCCTATGATAGAAGCCAAGAGTTCAAAGAACTCATGAGTAAAGTTTGAGTCTGATAGATTTAAGACAGGGGGCATTCAGTTTCTCAGCACGGTTGGGCCTGAGAAAGGAAAGCAAGAAGCTTCAAGCTAATTGTTAAGCCCAAACTCCACATGACTATTAACATGTGATAATCAGTTTGGTACCTTGTACTTCAGGTATGTCCGACTGAGTTCACTTAATGTGTTAACAGAGGTGTGTGATCAAGGCATTGCAAGTTGCTTGAGATAGGATGGTAGAGAATAAACTTTAGCTTGAAGCTGGGGTATTTACAGCAAGAGCTATGCTACTTATATACTGTTCTGTTATTGTGCTATAAATAAATGTTTCACAAAAGATATTGTCTGCTGTAGAGCTGTTACCCCTGCTATTGCCAGGCTCTCTACAAAAGCTGTTGTCCTGCTGTTGTGCTTATTATTGTTGCAGTGCATGGTGGGACAAAAAGAGCATTGTCTCTCCCTTCACAGCACACAGCAGCGCACTAGGAGAATGACTGACTGGGTTGCTGACCAAGCTTTCTCATGGTCCTAAGCACCAGCCTAGGCATCCTGACTAAGCAGTGATAGGGGTCATTTCCAAGGAAAAAGAAAAAGAAAATAGAAAAATCATAATACTGATGCTTTGCTTCAGCTAGACTGCATGGCTCTAAGGCTTCTGTATCAGCTGTTGAAATGGCCATGGCATACTCCTCAAGGAAGTCAGTATCCTCGAGTATCATCAATCAATCTGCCTCTCCTTCTTCTTCAAACTCGAAAAGATTATTGTTTTCATTGGCAACTGGTAACTGAACACCAACAGGTACCACAGAATCACTTGGACGTTCCGATACACTATCTTTGCTGGAGATGAGGTCCAGCACCTGCTAGCTAGGCTTTCGAGTGCATCCAGAATGGGTTTCTTCAACTATGGGTTAGACTATAGGTTGAGCTTCAGGAGTAGGTGACACCTGTGATGGCTTTGCAGTAGGTGGATTGAACTGAGTTTTTGGTGTTGACAGAATCTTGTGTAGCTCAATGTCTTCCTCCCTTTCAAGATCATCAGTGGTAATACGAGTTGTGTCAAAATAGACATTTCGCTTGATGAACACCATCTTGCTCTCTGTCTAGTAGACATGGGATCCATTGCTTGTTTTATCAAATCCAATTCACCGATCTTCATGTATGCAGCCACCCAGCTTCATAGCCTTAGTCTCAAGATGCACTCAGCATTTCTCTCTCTATTTCTGCAACCCTTTTAGATCTAGCTTCTTTCCTGTGACAGCTTCATAAGGAGTCATCCTATCTAGAGCCTTTGTCAATGTTTTATTGAGGACCCAGACAGCATGGCAAACAGCCTCAGCCCATAGAAAGTGAGGTAAGCCATTCAAATGCAGTATAGCCCTGACTTTTTCGATAACTATGCGATTATATCTTTCAGCCACCCCATTGTGCTGTGGCATATCATGCACAGTCATCTTCCTTACTGTGCCAGCATTTTTCAGATGCAGGACAAATGCTTTGTTGAAGTATTCACCTCTATGGTCTGAATGAAGGATTTTTACAGGGCAGTCATGCTGAGTGTGGATGCAAGCTTCATAGGCTTTGTATGTTGTGAAAGCTTCACTCTTCTAGTGTAAGAATTCAAGGTAAGCCCAATGAGTGCTGTCATCAATGAAAAAGATGAAGTAACAGCATTTACACAGGGATTCTACAGGTGCAGGTCCCCATAAATCAGAGTGAATTTCACCTCTAATATCAATTGCATGTTCTCTCCCTTGAGCCTTAGACACTGGCTTTTGTGTAGCTTTAGCATAGACACATGATTTGCAGAACTGTAATTCTCCAGATGACTTATCGAGCTTTACTCTGGTTATGAAGCCTTTTTCAACCAGACAGCGAGCAACTTCAGGTGAAATATGGCCCATGTGGCAGTGCAATTGGTCTAGAGTAAGCACCTCCTCAGCTGTCTCAGCCAAATCTCCCTCATGACAAACCTGATATAGGCCACCATCATCTTTTGGGACAACCCCAACAACCTTTCCATCTGGTGCACAGATGGTGCATTTTCCACCACTGAAAGTCAACTCAAAACCAAGATCATCAAGTTGGCCAACTGAAATAAGTATATAGCCAACTTCAGGAGAGTATATGACCTCGGTGAGTTGCAGATTGCTCGCATTTGCATCATTTGGCACATCAATGCTCATCATGCTCTTTCCAGCTGCAGAAAATTTTTGAGTGTTTACAGCACAGAATGCCTTGGGTGGAACAGACTGGAATGAGTTGAAATCATCGCAGTAAGGGGAAATATGGCATGTACAGCCAGAGTTGTAGAGTTCAGTATGAATTTGAATATTGGGTGAGTTTACAGTGTTGATAATGGCTGTGACTGACTCTTCAGAAGCAGATACATCCTTTAAGGTCGGCATGCCAGATGTGGCATCCGATTGCTTGTCAACAAAGGAGTTTACATCACTCCAGTCAACATCTGAGGACAACATGCTGCTCAGCTCATCCCACAACTCATCACTAACCTCCAAAAAAAGGTCGGTACCATCATCTTCATCCTCCAAGTCCTCTGATAAGCCCTCAACTTCAGACTCATCTGACTCAGAAACTGCAGCCAGCGATAGCATGTCGCTAGCATCATCAACTCCAAATGCACCACTGGCTTCCCAGTCCAAATCCAATGATTCCTCAGCCACATTGGCTATTTCACCCTTTGATCTAGAGGCCTTGCTGTCATTGTCTAATGACTTCTTCTCGAGGCATTTGTTTTTGAAGTGTCCTTCTTTCCCACATTCCCAGCACAATTTCTTGCCAGGTTTCTTGCCCTTCTTATTGCCATCTGAGCTTGATGAAACAGATATGGCTTCATCTTGCTCCGAGTCCTTTCTCTTTCCAGACTGCTGACTATGCTTGGCTCACTCACACTCCAGTTGGTCGTATTCCTCAGAAATGGCATGGATCAGGTTCTCAGGATCGACTTCCTTGTTGGAACTAAAAAGCTTTGCCACCATAAGGAGAGTCGATGCATGCTTGGCAAGATAGGAAGAGATAGAGGTGAGAATCGTTGAGTGGTAATCCTTCTCCTCAATGATGACACCAATGGAAGCTAATGACTCCCGTTTCATTGACAGACTGTCAAGAAACTCATGAACATTGCCTTTGGCCAGGCAATGCGACTCCATAAACTGCTGCCAAAGGTCAGTTTGTGCATAGCTGCTCTTATCGGTAAACTCTTTTTCAATCTTTGACCAGGCTACAGCAACTGTGG